CGGGCCTCTATGACTCTTCATTTAGGCTTGGATTCTACATTCTCTTTTTTCCCCCCTGTGGCAGAAAGAAACGCTTGACCAGATTCAGCCTGGTTACAATTACTGTGTGTTCCTCCGCATAGAAGGATATTTACAGTTTGTACAGTACTGTTGCTAAGCTACAAGCACAGTGCAGTTGTTCAGACATTAAAAATGCATATTTCTGAAGGATGTTTGCATGTTACCTCTAGAAAAGATGCAAAAGAGATCATAGCGTCTTAGGTTTTTCACACAGACAAAATCACAATTTAAAACTGAAGTTAAAGTAATTATTCAGTAGCTAAAAACCATGTGCTGTTAAAAAGGAGAGAAGAAGAAGTCTTTGCTCATAAGCAGACAATAAAGTAGGGAAAACAGGAAGGAACCAGAGGGAGAGAAGAGCTAGCATAAGGATGGGCAATCATGTAACTTCCACTTCCTCCTAAGATCAAGATTTGCAGATGTTTGTAAATTCTGATTTTAAACAAGAAGTCTGCAAGAAACTACTCATCACTAGGAGAGGAGGGAAATCTTTCAACTTTGCTGTCTCCCACACTTCAAATTTGATATGGTATTCTGATACTAAAAACAACCCTGATGAAAACAAAACTTTCATCCTTTGACCTGGCCAATATTGCCTTTCATGTGAAATCCCATGTTTTCACTTAGTTTAGTGGTTGTTAATGTTTCTAGACAATAAAAGTGAGATGTGCAAGATTTTTATTCACGAAGCACTCCATTCAAAAACAGAAACATGCAGAAATTAGGAATTTACAAGTAAGGAATAATTTGACTACAAATCAGAGACGAGAGTCACTGTAAACATTGCTCCCTTTACAAAATGAAGGGTTGTTTGCACACTTTCTCACACAATTAGCAAATGCTGAACTTGAAATCTTGAAGCTTCACCTTCTGTGTTATACAACCATTGCTTGTTACCAAGAACTTGTTGGGGCATCTAGATCTGAACAGATTTTGGTTTGTTGAAACAAGCTGCTGTACTAGTTTTTGAAGCTGTGTTATATGAACTAAACTGTAATTAATATTAACTGCTATTTAGGGATGAGACACTAAATTACAGTCAATCTGAAACAGAAGCAGAAGTTTCTGGTTTTGTTGTGTTGCTGAAGGAAGGAAATAGGGGGAATACACAAGCCCAAGGTTTACGTACAGTTGGGCTCATAATGCTGAACCATGGCTTAGTCTTATGTCCATTATTCAATTTACAGCTGTTTTAACTTCTATGCATGAACCTCAGGTGCATATGTTCTTTTCAGTCCTCTCCTTCAGTGCCCTGACAAGGAGGAGATATGTTAAGTCCATATGTTCTTTTCAGTCCTCTCCTTCAGTACCCTGACAAGGAGGAGATATGTTAACTGAGGTTAAGAGAAACAAGCTAGGATTTTGAATTTGGTTCATTTACCTAGACCACAGTTAAGACTAACTGAAGTTTGTCCAGGTTCAGTCATGACGGTAAACCAAGGCTGCTTGAAATAGTTCAATTACGGTAACTGAAGTTTGTCCAGGTTCAGTCATGATGGCAAGCCAAGACTGCTTGAAATAGTTCATATAGCTTCCAGTCTTCCACAGATGTTACAGAAGAGTTTTTCATAGGTCCGAGGGTTGTTTTTGCAGTGTTCCATCATAGTTAACAATCCATCTTGATCTTATCCTCTGTTTAGCAAAAAGTACCCATTAGATCATCTTGCCAGCACAGTATAGAATCTGAAAGTTTTTGGAGTGAGTTTAGATGCTGTTCTCTGCAGTCTACCATCATGTAATTGGTCCGTCCAAGTCAAATGTTGAGACTTGTTGTAGAGTGTGCCTTATAGCCCTAAATAATGGACACTTTGGGGCCATGCATTTATTTTGCTTATAAGTGCAGTTAAACCAATGATAAGGCATTCTTCCTGCCTTATCATAGTCAAACTCTTTTCCAGGCCTTTTTTGGGAAACTTAACTGGGATTTCTAAATATGATAATTACTAGTGAACAAGGTTTCTGCGGACATCTTGCCTTCCCCAGTACTGAGCTTACATTGCACTTCATTGTCATAATGTGTGTTCTAGGCTAGCCATTCTCAACTGGGTGGGGTGGGGCAGGAGGGCATATGGGCCTCTGATGACCCTAGAACAGTGATCCCCAATCATTGGCCTCCAGATGTTCTTGGACTACAACTCCCAGCAGCTTTCAACACCATCTCTGCTGGCCAGGATTTCTGGGAGTTAAAGTCCAAGAACATCTGGAAGCCCAAGGTTGGGGACCACTGCCCTAGAACATTTGAAGGGGGGGGTGACATAGACTGGAAACATTTCTTTACACACACCATCTTACATGGTTTGTTGTGAGATACAATCTTTATTCATCCTGTATTTCTTTAATATTGCGTTCATGGTTGTGGCAAAAAAGGGTGGCTGTTCTAGGGTTCATGCACAGAGATTACAGGCCCTGACAGTATGATGCGCAGAATATGCTTTATAATTCTGGGTGCAGGTGCTTTGTGTTGTAGATGTTTGGTGTAGCAAGTATTTCCTACAGGTAACAAGGTTGAAAGTCTCTGGGCTGCCTTTTGAAATCATAATTAGTGAACTTGTCATTTTTAACTCATTTGCTCAGGAGGCATTAACAATTGAGAGTGTAGAGCCACCAATCTAGGTTTTTTTAAAGACCTCTAAATTTAATGTGAACTTGCTGTAATAAAATAGGGCACAAGGGAGTACTCTGATCCAATTAATAGAATATTGTTCATGCTTGCACCATTCCATGGTCTATTAGCAGAAAGTTCCACGTGCTTTTCCCTGCGAGATAAGAAGTCTGCTGAATTGAAAATTTGGAAAATTTTGAGAAATAGGTATCCAAACAAAAGTAGCTATTAGAAAGGAGTAGGTTTTAAAAATATATGCAGGATGTATCAAGCAGCAAGAATCCAGTGCAACATTAAGTATGATTCTGTCTTCTCTGATTTCCATTTATTTAAATATGTTATATAAAATTCTTTTTCACGGTTGTAAATGGAATGCTAGGTCCTTGGTAGATGATGATGGAAACACACTGCCCTGTATTTATCTTTTCGTGTGACCCAAATGAAATAACTTAAAATCACATTTTACACGGTGGTGAAACATACGGATCAGTGACACCTACAGCAACAGATGTTGCAGTGGGAATTTTCGTTCAGTGCTCCAGTCAGTCATGCCTTCTGTAAGAAAACTCCTTTGCAGTTCCTCTTTTCCCACTTCCCACTACACTACAGTCACTTGGCACTCTCTAATCATTGAGTAGGCTAAGCTGTCACAGAGATGTTCCAGGTTTTCATACTTCTCTGGTCCTCTCCACTTAAAAAAATATTTTTTGGGGGGGGGGATTCCCATAAGCCTATAGATCAGTGGTTCCCAACTCACAGAGATGTTCCAGGTTTTCATACTTCTGTGGTCCTCTTCACTTAAAAAAAATATTTGGGGGGGGGGATTCCCAGAAGCCTATAGATCAGTGGTTCCCAACCTTGGGAACCTTGGGTTGAACCACCCAACCACCTTTGGGTAATCCAGGTGTTCTTGGACTGCAACTCCCAGAAGCCTTCTCCACAGGCAATGCTGGCCAGGGTAGCTGGGAGTTGCAGTCCAAGAACACCTGGGATAACCACTGCTGCAGATAATGGCCTGTCTTAACTGGACAGTACTGGTTGGCTATGTAATGTTGTCTGAAAGCTTCTACGTTTGTGGTCAAAAGCCACAAACTCCACTATGGTTAGCATAGTGAGTTGCAACTAGAGTAGGCCTATTGAATCAATGGAACTTACGGAATAATTCACTCACCAAGTCCCCACTGATGCGTTGGGCCTACTCTAGACGCAACTTACTGCGGTGAGCAACAGGATTTCAGGCAATGAGTTGAATGAACCAAAGTGTGAGGATTCTTTTTGAGCACTCAAGCTAAGATTCAGCTCCCGTTAAGAGTACTGCAGTTTAACTTTACAGAGAGTTGGATATATACATTCATTCAAAAGTGTAATAAACACATTCCTACCATTTAAAGAATTTTAATGTTTGCTTTAAAAAAATGATCTTCAGCGACCATGTAAGCCAAGATCTACGTATCTGGTATTCCTACTATCAGTATAGTGGTGTGAGACCTACGATCTTGCCACTTGGAGAAAAATTCTGAATTTCCCTTCCTATGTTAGACCGTAAAAATGATGGGTCACTCTCCCACACCCTCACCCTCATTATGGCAGAGTTCCTCACATTTTTCTAGTTTCACGGAGACCCTCTGCTATGATTTGTCTGCTCCAGAACTGTAGATGATTCTGTAATGCACCGTAGGGGCATGTACTTGGCACACCTGCTGAGTTGTGCCACTCCTAAGTGGGAATTGAATGTTTGCCCTACAGCAGAGGTGTACAGTTTTCTGGCGTTGCAGTGGTGCACTGCCTCCCCAGAATCCAGGGGAGCCTTGATTTTCTTGTTGCTGTTAAAATACTGTTGATTCTTCTTCATAGAGAGAGTTTTTCTTGTAATGGCAGTATTCTGGAAGTGTGATTTTTGTCCGTGCACCATGTTTTGCTGTAAGCTTTTGGTGGCAGCAGGACACAAGGGGCCTGTAAAAAATGGCCAGGGGACACATGAATCCCATGCACAACATGTTTCTTATCTTTGCCCTAGAATATATCACTACTTTCCTTAGGCTTTGTGCTTTACCACCAGTTGGTAATCGTGAGTTAAAAAACAATAGGTGAATGTTTCCCTGTCTCTCTTGAACCTTTTCTGAGCATTCTTGATAGTTTCACTGAGAAGTCCTTGATTAACTTCCAGGGACCTCTGTGTTCTTGGTCATGTTGCCGCATTTGCATAAACTCTGATGCAAGGAATTATTAAAAGATGTTGGTTGAGCATACCTTCAATAATGTAACGTGTGAAGCTTCCTCTTTTTGTCTTTAAAATGGATTTCTTCTTTTTCTTCTCCTCCTCCTCTTACTACTTTAGGAAATGGCTTTGTGAGCTCACGAGCTTCACCGGGCCTGCTTAGCAGCAGCAGCGGTGGGAATGGCCTAAGCAAGGTGATGCCTACAAAGTCCCCCCCTCCTCCTGGAGGAGGTAACCTAGGAATGAACAATCGCAAGCCAGATCTCCGGGTCGTCATCCCTCCGTCTAGTAAAGGCATGATGCCTCCACTGGTAAGTTTGTGGCTTCATTTTTGTACACCCCATGCTTTTAAAACTGTTACTGTCAGTGGATCAGGTCCGTCTGCATGGATAAAGAGGTTACTGTAGGCATGATTCAGACGCCTGGTGTTGAAGGGGCATGTCACATGAATCAAGCATTGGGTTCTGTTTTGGAAGCGACCCTCAAAGCTTGCCTTTTTTTTTTTTCTTTGCTCCTCCCTGAATCATGTCTACAAGGTAAATTGTGAACTGGGAATTCCTGCAGTTATTTGAACAAACGATTTCCCTAACTCCAGATATTGAATGGCCATGTCGCTCTGCACCAGTTTTTCAAAAATATGCCCCGTTTCTGTGTTGTTTCTGTAGTCTTTGTGTATATGAGCATGTTGTTTATACACCTTCCCCTGACAAGAGTCACATTCAGTGAAGTTTTTGGAGAACACATCAGTATATTCTGTTTTCCAGAGAGGACAGTAATCTGTGAAGTAATAATGTTTGCTCTGCTTTGAACATTTGGAGACAATATTAGTCTTACGTTTCCTTCTGGATGACTCAGTTGAGTTTTACCAGAGTCAAGGCTTCCAAGTGATTCTTGAAAAGCAAACCCCGTGCTCTACTCAGTGCTGTTAATCTTCTGCACAAAAAGATGGGGATTTAATTTGTTTGTAAATAGAATAATACTAAGAACAAAAAGGTCCTGGGTAGATGAGACCAGAAGTCTCTAGTCCAGGATCTCATTTTGACCAATGGGCAATAATACATTTCTGGACATGAAAGCAAGTGGCCTCCTGTGTTCTTTCTGCTTCTTGCCTGCAAGTGGTCGTGAAGTAGACTGCTTCTGAACACAGAGGCTGTATTACCTGGATTGCATCGTGACTTAACAGCTGTGATTAGACATTCACTATTAATTTTGTATAGTCTGCTTTATAAGTTTGACTGAGCCAGTGACCACTCTCCTATCTTGCAGCAGCAGTGTTCCTAAATTACACATATTCTGGGGCAATCCAGATGTTCCTGAATTGCATCTCCTTTCAGCCACCAAAGCTGAGGGTGAGGTGCACTGGGAGTTGCAGTAAAAAACATCTGGGAGGCCATGGTTGTTCTCCCGATTCTAGAGCTTTCCCTATTAATATCCAGAGTCCTGTGTAGTTTACACTATTGCAGATCTGCACCAAAAATAGTAAATTCTGTATTGAGTCCCACTGCTTTTCAGAACTGGTTTTTATGTTATTGGCAATAGGAAAGAGCAAAGAACTGTTCAGGTTACCGGAATTCTGACATGGCATCAGAGCTGGAACAAAGTATTGCTACAGGAGTTTAACCCGCATAATTTCAAGGATCAGGAAAAAAAATACACATTTCTAATGAAAGCTTAGATACTTGAGATGTTAGGGGCTTCAAGCCAAACTATCCAGCAACAGCTGCCTGGACTGCTAATTCATGAATTGATGCAAGACAGAAGTGCACCTTGTCGCAGCTGTATAATTCCCATATATTTTTTCCTTCTTCCCTCAAAGCATTGCAAAGCTCTAAATCTCTTAGTTTTCAACTTGGCCCACCTGGTTCTTCAGCATTAAACAATGGAGTTGTTGATTGCTAGAGCAGGTTAACAGAACCAGTGTTGACTCTCATTTTAAAATAATACACTGACATCACAAATGTATTTTCCTTGTGAGCACAGTGAAAACATTGTGTTGCTGTTGACAAAGGATTTGGGCTACTTGTAGTTAAAATCTGTGTCAGACTGGCCAGCCTAGCTTCATAAAATTGTGCTGTCATACATGATACAGTGCTACTGAATCACATTGTAAATTCAAAATACTAGCAAGGCTAAATATAGCTAGCTGTTCAAGCACCAGCATGACTCTTTCATTCTTGAATGCTGTCCTATTCTTAGTAACTTTATTATCCCTCTTATTTGCTGAGTACAGTCGGAGGAGGATGAATTGGAGTTGGTGAGTCTGGGTTCCTACTTGGTATGAGACATAAAAAGCCGGAGAGCTTTCATATTAACTGTGGTGTAACTTTGACCAATGTTCCCCTTATTGCAGAGAGAACCTTTGCTTGGTTTATCACAGTCTTCCATGTGGACCAGTAGAGCATAGCAAATTAATAACCCTTACATGGAAAATTACTCCTTTAATGGACTGTGTTGAGAAAGGGGAACATTGGGAGAGAACCTCTAACAGCAACTGTCTGTGCATATTGAAGAATGAGGAATTTTTCTTAACTGGTGTCTCACATGCTTTTACTCAGATAAGGGGCTTTGCTCATAAAGTCCCTCAAATTATAATACAGATTCTGTGGTGCTCTTTTCCTTCTTGGAGATTACATCATTCCTGGTGAAGTCACCTTTCTAGAGATGAAGTTAATTTCATGCTCTATAAGAGAAGCAAACCACAAGGGGCTTCCCTGTTTACCAAGAGAAATGTAGATCTGCAAGCTAGTTCCCTTTATTGGGAAAACCATGTGAGCTTTCTGAAAATATATTTTGCAAAACATTCTATATGATTTAATCTCTGGGAAAGATAAGATCCACATTTTGTTGACTAGAAACTGGCTTCCCTTGTAATGCGATCCAGATAAATTTTTAGCAGTGCAGCTGATGCAGTCATTTCAGAAATAACTTCACCATGAAAAATGTATTGGCGAGACCAGATTTTTGAAGACCTATTAGCCTTTTTAAATAATTGAAACAAAAACCTGTTGCTGATATGGGCTCTTTGCATGAAAGCATGTGACTGCTGTGTTCTTCTCACACTTCTCTTGCGGAATGCATCATATTAGGTACTGTGCTGTATGTTGACGCTCAAAATGTCATGGCTAGGACAAGCAGCAGTGCGGTTTATCAGTAAGCCCTTGCCTCTGTGCACATATATATGAAGTAGTAGCAATAATCAAAAGCCCTGAAATTTGTTACACCTGTACTCAGCTTTCTGAGAGAAATCTCTTTTCCATAGGAAAGTGGAGAAGTAACAAGGGACACTGAGCAGAATTTTGCTAACAAAGTCACTGTCCTGCAGTATTTGAGCCTCACTCATATTGTTAACTTTGTAGATCGCATTTTGTAGTTAAACTGCCGATGTCTCCTATCAGTTTTTCAAAATAAATTGCTTTGGTAAATTGATTCATTTTCATCTGTATAGTTATTTTTTGCTTGTAAATCTCAAGACAGAGCTTTTCACCTACACAGTTATCCGATGAGGCAGATCAAAGTTATTCCCACTTTATAAGTACTGTAGTTGGAAGTCTTGAGGGTAGGTCAGCATTGCTTAGCCTGTGATTTAAACCAACATTCAAGTATTATAAGGAAAGGTCTCCCCATACCCTGATTCTGAAATCACCACTTCATTTAATTTTCTTTAATCTGTTGTAATGACTTTGTTCTAATAAACTAAAATGATAGGATAATATGCAGCTCATGAATTCACATAATGGTACAAAAGGAATTCATAGACTGGAGGAGTGGTGAATTATAGAATTGTGCTGCTCGTTTATGGAATTGATGCAAGCTAGGCAGTCCTAATGTTTTAGCTAATTGCTACTTTGCATTTTATAACACTTAAGTGCGTACTTCTTAGATTTGGTATATGTTAATGCTTTGCTCCAAACTGTACTCTGTGTGTGTGAGGGGGGGGGGGCTGAGATATTTGTTCCACTTTTCTACCCAAGACACAATTTAAAACATGGTGTGCGTGATGGACCACATCTGTCTGCATTATTTGTTAGGGAGAAAAGGGCCTGTATGGTGAATCTGTTAATATGTCAACATTAATGTGGAGTAGTTTTCAGTTTCCATAGAATGACAAAGAGTGATTTGTACTATGCATGTTGAAGGAGGAGAACGCCCCCTGGTGGTGCGCTGCCACTTCTGGGGAAATATGTATCTAGCTAAAGAATAATAAAAAAGACCCCCCTCAGGTTTACAATTTTTTAATTATACAGGCTAGCTAAAGAATAATAAAAAAGACCCCCTCAAACAATTAGCTCATGTTTTATCACTGAAAGCCAAAACTGAATCTGTTAATATGTCAACATTAATGTGGAGTAGTTTTCAGTTTCCATAGAATGACAAAGAGTGATTTGTACTATGCATGTTGAAGGAGGAGAACGCCCCCTGGTGGTGCGCTGCCACTTCTGGGGAAATATGTATCTAGCTAAAGAATAATAAAAAAGACCCCCCTCAAACAATTAGGTCATGTTTTCATCACTGAAAGCCAAAATTAGCTCTTACATTCTCATGCCCCAGTCGACCTCCTGACCCAGCTATTAGGCTGAATTGGTATTAGTTTTTTAAAGATTTAAAGCTGTTTAGACAATTTCATTTTTCCAACATCTTAGCAAAATGACTGAGCAGCCTTTGATATGTTGACCTGAATTTAGTCTTGGGTCATCTCTAGAAGCTTCTCTTTCTTTAAACGAAGCCTTGTCTGAGACATACTGTTAGCATGGAGGATAGCTTCAGAGAGTTGCATTTTTATGTGTGTGTACTTTCCTTTTGATGTAGTTCAGTTAATAATACAAGACCGGTATATGCTCATTACTCTGTACAGTACCACTTATGTGCATGGTGTGTCATGTTCCCAGCTGTCATTTGGAGACAGATTTTATGGAATGGGAGAATAGGGTGGGAGAAAGGCACACCTACCTTGAAAAATCTAATACAATGGTTGATAAATATGGTAGCATTTCCTCCCTTTATTCTGTATACCTGCTCTTAAAAGATTTCAGCCACTATCCATAAGGAAAAAAAGTGTTTCAAAGTTTGATCTAGTTCAGTGTCTGCTTAATTGTGCTCTATTTTTATTTATTTTCTGTGTCTATTCTCTTAACTACTTACAGAACACACAGCGGTTAAGCAGTTCTCAGTCTACGCAACCTCTTGCAACACCTGTTGTGTCCGTGACAACACCGAGCTTGCCTCCGCAGGGACTGGTGTATTCTGCTATGCCTACAGCCTACAATACTGGTACGTTGCACACCTCTTGGATCTTTCATTCCCCCCAATTTCCTTTGAAAAGATTACAGAGCTTTAGCGCAACCTTGTCTGCATCCAAAGTGCTTTTTACACATGAAACTATTTAAGGATATTTGCTTATTTCCAAAGTTGCATAGCCTTCCTTTCAACGGCTCACTGACATTCCCAGGGTGACTTACAAAAGTGTAAAAAAACAAGTTGCAAAAATGCATTCAGTGACACAACACAGGGTGAAAATTCCAGTTAATGGAAAAAATAAAAATCAGTAGTTATTGTTATGTGTTGGCAAGACTGACTTATGATGACCCCCTAACAGTGTTTTCAAGGTATATGAGATTTTCAGGGAGTACTTTAACATTCTTAGCTCCCAATGAGTTTCCATAGTGGAGTGTGATTTGAACACAGGTCTCTTGAATCCCAGTCCCACATTCTAACTAGTACAACACACTGGTTCTCCATAACAACAGAGTGCTTAAAACCTGAGTAAAATAATATGGATAGCAATGCTGGCACCAGAAGAGAAGAGATGTCCTGTGCCCTCTCATCTGTGGTCAAAAGTAGGACACATGATTATGTAATCTTTCCTTCTGCAATGTGTTGAGCAACTTTCAAGGTGCCCTAAAAAGAACACAGTGTGAACTCTGCTGGGCATTCATTTGAATGGCATTGCCGCCCGTAATAAGAAATCTGCAGCTTCTTCTGTGTAAGTTAAAATGGCCACATTGGGAAAGCTCACAATTTAAGATAAAAAATTCAAGAATTTCTTTCTTTTGAAAAAGGGAAGTATTTTCAGAGGACTCTTAAAAAAAGAACAAAGGATACATGTTAGTTTAGTACCTCCTGTTTATGATGTGAACTTTAGTGTCTTTGTCAACCCTGTTTTTCTTCTAGCAAACCTATCATCTTTGGCAAGGTAGCATTGGACTTGAATGATACTGTCCTGGGGCAGCATTTGGTATGACTTATCTTAAGCACCTACTTCACCAAATTTGGTGGGATGAGCTCCTACGCAGATGCATAATCAGGCAGCACAGAGCTTCAAATGACTGTGTCTAAAAGAATACACAATCCTGAAAGGCCTGTTATATTTGAAAGGTTTTGTCATTCCGTAATAATTTTATAGATAGTGTTGGATCTTTAGGCCTTTTAAAATAGGACTTAAATCTAAGTGCCAAGCAGCATCCCATTAAACATACTGTGGTCTTCTAGTGTTTTTGCCTTCTGAGTCCACAGAAACTTACTTGATCTCACTTTTCTGATCTCTTAGCCAATTAATTCTGATATTATTTTTTTAAAAAAACAACAACCCTGAAATGTAAACTGTAGCTGTCTCGCAGGAATATTTTTTAAAAAAATTATCTTCCCAAGAGACTGTGTAATATATTAAATAAAATGTATAACTAATTAAGTGTTTAAAATGTTTGCCGCTATCTTTTGTTCCAAATTTGAAAGGAAAAGCGAGTGATAATGAGGAACTGAAATAACTACTCATGAGTGAATCAGTACTGATAACTAAGCATTATACCCTGATTTTTTTTTAAAAAAGGCAATATCAAATGGGTGCACCCATGATTTGTTTGTGTAACTTTTGAGGGAAATGTAAAAGTCAGCCACAAAGACAGCATAAAATGTTTTTCTGATGAGAGGGCAAGGTCCTCCTTCCTCTCTTATCTCCAAAAGGCAAATAGACCAGACCTTGTATCCTACTTCAAAATGGGCAAGGGAATATCGTTCTCCATTACAGCTAGGGTGAGCAGGCTACCTCAAGGAACAGGGGTTAATAGCCCCATCTCCCAACATCGCACTGGCATTTCCTGCCCCTCAGCATGTGCCTGATTCTCCTGTATAGAAGTGCTAGTTCTGGTCTTTTGTTCTGCAGTGCATAAAATGAAAAATGGGTCTGAAAAGCTAAACTGCAGGCAAGCCTCCAGTCCTGTTCCTTTGCAGGATATAGTGGAGGGTAGGAATGCTGTTTTAAATGGCTACTGCATTTGCATTGGTCCTTGCTTTAACATTTATAATATGTTGAATTTAGTTTACTTCAGGGAATGGGTCAATGTGTAAGTAATGCATTAATAAGAAGTTACATAATTAATTTTTTTTAAATTGGGAAAAAACTCTCCACCTAAAAAAGTCCCGTTAAAATCTGCCTGGGAAGTAATGAGTACAGTGGTTTACTTCAGGGAATGGGTCAATGTGTAAGTAATGCATTAATAAGAAGTTACATAATTAATTTTTTTTTTAATTGGGAAAAAACTCTCCACCTAAAAAAGCCCGTTAAAATCTGCCTGTGGAAGTAATGAGTAAATTGTTATCCTCCCCAGCCACGCTGTTTGTGTGATAATATTAAATTGTGGAAAAGGAGGATATAATTTCATGCAAAACTAAGGAGTTATGAGTAATCTTGTTACTTTTAATATGCGAGTTCCAAGCCCTGGGTGATAGAGTGCACCGTTATTACTATATCTTTTTTCCTCTCTCCTCTGGCGGCCATTTTCGGGCCCTCGCAAAGCGAGGGCGCAGCGGGAAAAGTTGCGGCGGCCATTTTGGAACCACTGATCAGCTGTTTTCCCCCGCTCCGTTGTGCGAAAATCGCTAAGCGATCGTCGCACAGCAAAAAAACGCCATAGGGGCCATCGCTGAGCGAACGCTCCAGCGATGGCCCGGACCCCCTCGCTATGCTAATTCATCGCTCAACGCTAAGCGAGGCACCACTGTAAATTGTTATCCTCCCCAGCCACACTGTTTGTGTGATAATATTAAACTGTGGAAAAGGATGATATAATTTCATGCAAAACTAAGGAGTTATGAGTAATCTTGTTACTTTTAATATGCGAGTTCCAAGCCCTGGGTGATAGAGTGCACCGTTATTACTATAGCTTTTTCCCTCTCTCCTCCTCATGGGAGTGTACATGTGATTCACGTACCATTATCTGAATTGCACTGAGAACTCTTGTAGTTTGATCTTCTGTTGACTTGTAGGTCAAAGATGGTTAATGCAGAGACCCAGGCCTTTGCTCATGTGTCAGCTTCTATCCCACAAGAACCCCTAATGGTGCAGTTTGTTATGTTAAAATGCTTAACATTTTAATTCCATTATGTCAGCCCTGCTGGGATACTTTTGGCTGAATGTATGGTGGCCACATGCCTTGGAAAACCAAAACAGATGAGATGCAGCCACAGGTCATTTTGTAAACTTTATTTTAGTACGTTCTTCCTGAGGAGGCTCCAGAACTTCCGAGAGATTATATATTTAAGGCAGACTGCAGTCCATGTTAGTTGGATACACAGCCTTCAAAATATCATAGTAGTTGTAGTTTATGCTGATATAGGATGGAACCTGTCTTATCAAATCTTGATTCTCTTCCCAACTTGTTCTGCTGGCAAAAGTTCAGTTTCTAGATTCTCATTTTAAAATGGTAGAAAATAAAGGCCCCTATTATTAGTATCTATATTTAATCATTCTTTCTAATAGCCAGCTCTGGTGGCTGAGTACCTGTCAGCACACTTTTTGTCAGTTCATAAATAAGAGAGGCCACCCTAAAATAAAGGTTTCTGCATTTTAAAGGGAAATCTTAGGTACCCAGAAGCATACAGCTTGGGAAAATAATGGTGGACGGGAGTGTAGAAATATCAGAAGAGCCCAACAAGTAGTACCGTATTTTTCGCACCATAAGACACACTTTTTCCCCACAAAACAGGGGGGTGGAAAGTCTGTGCGTATTATGGAGCGAAGAAAACTGATTATATTTTCCTGTTTTCTTCTCCTAAAAAACTGGTGCGTCTTATGGAAAGGTGCGTCTTATGGAGCGAAAAATACGGTATATTGTTCTGGGACTTAAGAAAATAGTGATAGGATGGGATAGAGAGTCTAAAGAAGCCAGATGTCATCACACACCTTAGTCTTGTGGGCTAAAATCCTGTTGCTTCGTTCCACATGCAGAAGGCAGATGGTGTAATATTCTATCACTTCCAGCTATTCTTGAGTTAGTTAATAGTATGGGATCGCAGTCCTTCAAAGCCAGGATACCATGGTGTATCTGAGAGGATTCCCAATATTCATGTCCTTGACCCTAAAACAATTAGAGCTACAGTAGTATCAACTCTTGTATGAGTTAATCTCCACATGCAGAAGGCAGATGGTGTAATATTCTATCACTTCCAGCTATTCTTGAGTTAGTTAATAGTATGGGATCGCAGTCCTTCAAAGCCAGGATACCATAGTGTATCTGAGAGGATTCCCATATATTCATGTCCCTGACCCTAAAACAATTAGAGCTAGTATCAACTCTTGTATGAGTTAATGAAAGCTTAAATTCTCTGCTTATGTGCAATGATTTTCTTTCTTTCTTTCTCCCTTTTCAGATTACTCCTTGACTAGTGCAGACCTGTCAGCCCTGCAGGGATTTAACTCCCCAGCAATGCTGTCATTAGGACAAGTATCCGCCTGGCAACAGCATCACCTAGGACAGGCAGCCCTCAGATTAGATCAATGTCATTACACACACACACACACACACACACACACACACACACACACACACACACAACTGTTCTGTTTGGTGTGCACACAGACACACACAATCTTGTGTAAGTAGGAACACACACTCACACACACATAACTGTTCTGTTTGGTGCACGCACACACACACACACAATCTTGTGTAAGTAGGAACACACACACACAAACACATAACTGTTCTGTTTGGTGCACTCACACACACACACACACAAACACACACACACACACACAATCTTGTGTAAGTAGGAAAACACACACCTGTTTTGTTTGGTCCACAAACTATGTTCAGGCTCGACCTTACTGGTGAGGTTCAGTGTTCTTTACCTTTGCCTTTCACCAGGTTGGATCTGTATGGATGCATTTCTCTGAGTTTGGAAAGAATTTTGTGGGGAGAACCCTATGCTCACTCTTGTTCATTCATTGGCAGCACATGGCTTCCTGGATGCAACCTTTCACCAGGTTGGATCTGTATGGATGCATTTCTCTGAGTTTGGAAAGAATTTTGTGGGGAAAGCTCTGTGCTCCCTCTCTTGTTCATTCATTGGCAGCACATGGTTTCCTGGATGCAAACGGCAACGTTATAATCTTTCCCTCATTTGAATATCTGACCTAAGCGAAATAGCGCTGAATGGAAGGAGCAGCAGAAAATATCGCTTTGGGAAGTCACTTTGGTGGGGGTGGGGGGGAACTGTTATGTACAACCTTGACAATTTTTTACCCTAATCATCATGTTAACAAGTAGACTGGGAAACATACAAGGCACAGCACCCTCTGCACCTTCTGTCTTGAAGCCGCTTCTGCAGGTTGAATAGGCCAGTAATGTACTGTATTAAAGCACCCTCTGCACCTTCTGTCTTGAAGCCACTTCCGCAGGTTGAATAGGCCAGTAATGTATTAGTGACTAAAACACTGTTGAGCAACTGGGTTCCAAATATTGCTCAGTCCTCTTCCTCAAATGATACCATGCCACAGTGCTATGATTTTGACAGTAGCTTGTTACTCTCAGGTTATTGCAGTTTTTTGTTGACTCATAAAATCCCCTGAATCTGCGGAGCAAGAGTATTTGTTCTGCACAATCAGTGATTATTACATTTACAAGTCATGGTAAGCCGTGGTTTGTGTTGGTTATAATTTCTGCGGAGCAAGAGTATTTGTTCTGCACAGTTAGTCATTACATTTACAAGTCATGGCAAGCCGTGGTTTGTGTTGGCTATAATTTGTTGCTTAACCTGTCAGTCATCCCTTAGACAATGATGACGATGACAACAACAAAATGCAGTTCGTCTTCTCCATTCCCAGTCTGTTTCTCATGTGTTCTGTTTGTCCGTTTTTGTTTCAAGATAGGCAGTTGAGAAGATAGGCCAGAGACAAGCCATAGTTTGGACAAAATAAGTTATGGTTTAAACAAGCCAGAGTCTATAATAGAAAAGAAGGGGGGAAAAGAGGCTTCTCGTTGTGGTTTGTGGTATGATTTCTGACTGGTTTGTTTGGACACATTTTTGACATCACAACAAAAGCACAACCTGGCTTAACGTTGTCACTTTTGTATTGAGTTTTGATAAGTGATATTATTTTCTCCTTGCCTTATTGCACTTCAAATTGTATTCTTCTCGATGCAGAGTTGCACCTTTTTTAATGTATTCTTGCTCTGTAAATTGTTATAAAATAACTTCCTTCTTCTCTTTCTTCCCTTGCCCCGACCTGACTTCAATTTTTATTAGGGCTGGAGGTCAGTTATCTCAGGGTTCCAATTTATCCATTAATACCAACCAAAATATTAACATAAAGTCTGAACCTATTTCACCTCCTCGAGACAGAGTGACGCCATCCACGTTCCCGCAGCAGCAACAACAACAGCAGCAGCAGCAACAGCCTCAGCAACAATCGCGGCAGGAAATGGGACGCTCTCCAGTTGACAGCCTCAGTAGTTCCAGCAGTTCATATGATGGCAGTGACCGGGAGGACCCCCCCAGGAGTGACTTCCATTCACCTGTTGGGCTGGGAAGGCCCCCAAATTCAGAAGACAGAGAGAGCCCAACCGTGAAGCGAATGAGAATGGATACTTGGGTGACCTAAGCCTCCGGTCCCTCCTTTTCAGTTTCCTTTTTTTTTTTGAGTTATCCCCAACGAACAGTCCTGACATATCTAAATTTATAAATAAGGACATGAAATAAATATTTATATGTATATACATACATGCATATATATCTTTGTATACATATATATGTGTGAGTGTGTGTAGGAAAAACACAAAAAGAAAAATCAGCAGGCACTTAATATCAATTCTTCGTATAGCTGCAGATGCCCCATGGTTTTAAAAAATGAAATGTAACAAAAAAAAACCCTTATAGGTATTGGTCTAGTTCTGGCACTTAACCTGGACTGTGTTCCTTGAATAATGTATCTTGTTTTGCAGAAGACATGTACCCTTATGTAATCTACCAAACTAGAAGGCAGAACTGTGAGGGCTTGTTGGTAGTAGTGTTCCTATGTGTGTTTTCCAACAGCTGTGTGGTACCCTGTAGTTAAAATTACTCTTTGTAGCAGCAGAGCAGTAGAAAAAGAAAGCAATACTGTACATAGAATGATCTCTATACTACCCAATCTAGCATGGGTCTCTCTTGCATAAAGAGTGCATGGAAGAAGGGCTGGCATTATTATTAAAAAAAACCACACAAAACTGTTTTTGCACGTGCAAAAAAACTGGGTCAAATACCTTTTTTAACCGAGAGAGACAGACAGACAAACATAAAGTGCATGAAATATTCAGAAGATATTAGCCTAGAAGTTAGTCCATAAAGAAAATTTTAATATATTAAGTTATAATTGGAATATGTTTTAAAAGCTCTTTCTTATGTTCCTCCTACCTTTTTTAAAATATAGAAAAACAATTTTAGCTCATGTATATTTTTTATTAAAGAAGAGCATACCCTTCTTAAAAACTATATAGAAAGTTATATACAGTACTTTTGAACACATTCTGCTATGAGTTATTTATACAAGCCAAAGCTGTTCTGTGTAGCTTTTTTGGTAGAGTATAGGTCTAACTTGGTTTCTTGACTGTCTGTTTTTGTTTGCTTGCTTGCTTTAGGGAAAGAAGGAAAAAAAATCTTGCAGGCAGAATCTTGGGGAAAAATAAGCCATGAATACTTATTCTATATGTAAATGAAAATTTGAGCCAAACTTTGTGTATATAGCATCTTAAATATATTATCACCTATTGGTGTAAGTACGTATGTATTGTACGTTCACCAGATTTAAAAGTATATTTTTGTGGATTGACGCCGACTTGAAGAAAAAAAAGAAAAAGGCGAGGTCCTTATTAAGTAGAGTATTCACTGTTTTAATATTTACTATTTTGTTCAATATGCTGTACTTCCTTTTGGATTTTAATTAATATTATCCAGATTTTTTCAGAGAGTGTTTTAAGAAGGGGCCATCCCCCCTCACTGGTGGTGAATGTGTGTTGTTAAAATTGTATCCTTTTTTTGTGACGTATGGTAAAAGTTTCATTATACATTTTATAAATATATATATACATATATGTGTATATATACATATATAAATATATGTATAAAGATAGCAAAGTGATAATCCCCTTCCTCAGTTTCCTCCACAAAATTCAGCATTGAGTTCATACTGCATAAATAGAAAATGATGTTGAAACATGTCTTTTTTCAGGCATTATTTTAAAACTGCCTTGTGGGGTGGGGTGGGGGGACAATCTTGTTGCTGTTAATGTTAAAGTAATGGAAACATGCACAAAAAAAGCAAAGAAGGGTGTGAAGTGGTGTTTGGGTTTAGGGCAAACTATGTTCTAAAATAATTTTTTAATTTTTTTAAATCTTGGCATTATTTACAAAAAGTGGCCTTCCCCATTGTTGTAGAGATGGTTAATTGACTAATTGATTAACTGTTTTTGGGGAGGGAGTCTTAACTGTTGAGCTAAGAGGTGCTTTGTGTTCTGATGGTGTAAGTACTGTCTAAAGTCAGGAGGCTGCATGACATGTCTGCACCTACAACATATATTTTATAACAGACATTTAATATGTACTCAAACCAGAAGGGACATGAAAAGTGTCTGGATTTTAAAAAATAACATGCACATTTAATGCAAATGGCAGCTGTTGAGTGGGTGACAGACAGTTCATGAAATTGCAGCAGCTTGTGGAATTAAACACCTTTCCTTCCTGCTGCAGTTCCGACAAAAAAAAATTTAAAAATTAGAAAACACCAAAAATCAGTATGAAATGAAACACTGCTTCAGAACTGTAATTTGCATTGGGAGAAAATTTCACACTAGTGATAGTGTGCATTTAAGCAATGTATTTTAATTTTAAATGGTTTTCATTTGAATTTACGTTTAAGGATAAATTGAATGTCACATCTAGGTTGAGTTAACTGTATTGGCATCTGAAAAGCCCGTGTCTCTCTGGATCAGGTCATACTTTTGTGTTACAAACTGCTTCCAAGTCTCAGTTATGTAAGCCGAGGTACACTTTGTGAGAGCTGGTGGCTCCATGCGTGTGTTGTCCAATCTGACTTTGTGTGGATGGGTGGAGGTGTCATTACAGAGCTGGATACCAAGAATTTGGCTTCCCTTTCTTTAGCCTAGAGATTAGATTTTTCATCGGAAAGAAATACTGACTTTCATGACCAGGTAAACATATAACAGGGCATGTGCAATTTTAATTCCTTGCTGAGAAGACATAAGGCTTTAAGACGTCCTAAATTCTCACCACCCTCTAAAATAGTAAACTAAGTTGGGAATGGCTTCATAGAAAAGTGCTCTAAAGTGAAAGCCATTCCCTGTTAAAAAAAAAACCTCACCTATTCTCTTTCCTCTTCCTCTCTCCCCATGTAAAAACTCTTACATACTCTTCTTGGTGGATTATGTGATTTTAGTTGGCTGGGTTTTCATTTTCCTAAGAATTATGAAAAGGCATCCGCTTAATTTTAAGCGTCTAAATAGCCACTAGGCGCAGCTGCTCCTGCCTCGATCGTGTTGGCTGGAAAGCACTCCAGTGTGTTCTGTCCGCTTCCTCATCTCCCTTCAGGCCATCTTGTTTGCACTTGCTCAAGTTGGGACCCAAACCACCATTTCATAGATCCTTCTGATGCTTCAAAAGGGTATGTTTCCCAATGGGTATTTATGCACCTACATGAACTTTGCTGTACATTTGAATGGGAGTTCTTCATTTCACATTTACTGTCTGATTTCTTGTGTGCCTTAATGAGATGGCTTTGTTGACTGTATCTCAGTAGTCTTTATTCCTATGCAGGTTTGTATGGAGTTACATCACTATACATTTTTCTTAAGAAGAAGTAAGGCTTGACCTTTGTACTTGAATCGAGCCAACCAAATGTTTTACAAAAATCAAGCTTTCAAAATCAGACTGTTAACTCTTGGCCTGTCTCCTTGTTCCAGGATTTGGGTCATGTCCATTGTCTCTTATGGAAGACTTTCACATCATAAAAATCAAATAAAAACGGTGACCTTTTTCTAATAACACTAATAATGTAACTCTAGACATTTTGGAAGTCTTATACTTTGAGCTTATAGATAAGGATAGTTCCAACAACATTCAGGGTTGCTTGTGTTAACCTAGGTGCAGCAGCATCATGCACTTTTGCATGTGAGTCAGTGTTTCTTTGCTGTCATTTTGCTATTCGTTTGTACCAAATGCCTGTTTTTTTTTCCACTGAAGATGCAGGACCTGTAGTGATCTGAAATGATTTTTAAGTGGTAACAAGGTGTGTCATCCCCTACTTCCACCTCTGGTACTGCACTGTCTGAGTCTATTTCTGCCTTGCGTAACGAGAATTGTGCAACCAATTGGACAGCCAAAGCTTGAGGTCAGAGATCAAATAGGCGAGCATCCAAAGAACCTTCCAAGTAATTCCATGCACCAGCTGGGAATACGGGCTTATAAGCCTTTAGCAGCCATGCATGGCGAACCACTTTTGGAATTTGAGGGGGGAGTTTATTTGGTGGCTAGAGGGTGAGGACTACTATTTGAAGATGCTGAAAAATATTTGTTCTGTACAGGCTCCCCGCATGATGCCATTCTCAGTGCTAAGTCCTAGCTTTTTAGTGACATATTTGAAGATGATCTAAGGTTTCAAACCTATGGTGTGGCTTTTGGGTTTATACTTCCTTGGGTCAAGGATTTTTTGCTTCAGAGATACTCCATGCTTGTGGAAACCTAGCCTATCAGGTACAGATAATTTTTCACAGGCAGAGGGCGATATAGGAAAGGTTGCTTTCCAAAGAAGTGACAGCGTCATGCTCCTTGTTGAGGTGCTGTAGCTTCTCAGAGGGCTTGCATGATGTGTCTCACGTTGGTTTGTTTGGTTGCTTGGTTTCCCCCCCCTAATCCAGCAGCTTGTACGATGAGGCTGCTTGGAGATCCGCTTTTAAAACTAGACAGCAAAATGACTTTTTTAAAAAAGCAGATAGGGTCAATAGCATTTAAGGCAAGATTGCACCATGAAATGAATTCAAGTTACAGAATGGAAGTCAAACATTGTGTATGGCAACATGGCAACACTGACTTGGCATGCTGATAGCAGATACTTCTTTTTAAAAAGAAGCAAGGCATGTAGGAAATGCTTTAGCCTTTAATTATAAAGGACACTAATGCATTGGCAAGTGTATTGTGCGCACAAGAAATAAATAGTAAATAAAGAACATAAATGACTCCTGCCAGATCAACCATGGGAAGAAGTTTGAAATTTAGAATGTGAAAGACTTAAAATTTTATTAGAATTTTTCCTCACTTTGCTGTGCAAGAAAACACTGCTTTGCTATATTTAAAAAAAGAAAAAAGCTTTTTTTTAAAATAAAAAAATATATATGTACTTGGTAAATGTTTGTAGTCAGCAGTTCACAGACGAAGCTGTTTGCGGTTAAAGCCGCCTGGCGGCACAAGCTGGACTTTGTTGCCATCTTTGAGACGAATCTTTAAGGAAAAAAAATTAAGTTAATCTCTTTTTCCCTGAATGTGGTGTTTTTTCTTCAGTATACAATAAATATTCTAGTGAACTTTTTATCAAATGGTTAAGAAAATGCTAGAGGTTGTTGTAAAATATTTGTATCTTGCATTCACTAAAGTAAAAATACTGGCTTTTACTGTGTATTTCAGACTCTGTCCTATTTAGAATGACTTTTGCTTGGTTTGTGCACACACTGACCCCTGTTCCTCAGCCCCTTAGTGTCTGGTTTCATGGTTGTTAATCCAATTCTGCTTGCATGTAAAGTTCCATGCTTAGTAAAAGAAAGGAACTACTTATATATATTTGAATTTGGATTCTGCCCTACCTTATGCATTGGACGGATAAAATACGACAGAAGGAAGGGAAATTATTTCCTTCGGGCTCCATCTGAGCCACCAGAAGAAATAATGTTCACAGTTTTCCATTTGCTCACTTTTAATTTTGGTGTACACAATGGGACTTTTCTCAACATACGCTTATTTTTCTTCATCTCTCTCTTGGGTTAGATGACCCAGAAAAGAAAAAGAAAAAACAGGGCAGTGACATCCATTTTTTTCCATAACTAGAACAGAGCACCTACTAAAAGAATTACTATAGATGAACCTCTGGGTTGTGGAACATGCCTCTTTTCCCTGCAGATGTTTACATTAAAAGAAGATCTGTCTTTGTTGCCATGTGTCACTCTGCATTTCTCAACTTAAACAAGAAAACTTTAAAAGAAAACACTCTGAGGACGTGGCGTGGCCTAATTCTGCATCCTGACATACCAGTTGAAGACGAGTCATGTAAACTTGGGGAGACTTTCTCATTTTTATTTTTAAGTGACAGATATATAGGTATATTCTGGGGAATGGTTTAACAGCTGCCGTTGCTGTTAAGACATACACCCTTCCTGTGTCCATTTGCCTTGGACGTCCCTGTTCTGTAATTCTTTTCCAAAGCTTGATTTAAACGCTGTTCTTCAGTACCGAAAGCTACTGGGTTTCAGTTGACTAAGATACACCTTTCCATTTCTCTCTCTCATCTTCATCAAGTTGTATATAGAATAGCTTTACTTCTTGGCAACAGTTCTGGACTGAATTGTTTCATGGACTCTGTTGAGTGAGTTGGGTGGAACATAATCAGCGTAGCTCCTGATTTTTAAAGTCAGCTGTCTGTTACAGTTGTTTTCTTTTACTCTCCTTAAATGTCTCTCTGTCAGCTGCTAATTTGCCTCCTAAACCTGACTTCTTTGTGACTTTGTACTAGTTGAAAAGGTGTTAGGATCCATTTGAGTTTTCTAAATACATTTGATCTCCCCTTTCCACCTCACTTTCTGCAGTACTGTTCAAAATGAGATTTTGTTGTCGTTGTTGTGAACTGGGTTTAGTTACAAAGGAGATGACAAGGGAAACCCTTCTTGGCCCTCTGGCATGGAGCTAAAGGGGGAATATCTTGGTCTAATGTTTGAAAGATTTGCAGCCGAGAGAGTACAGGGTTTTTCACTGCAGGGAACCTTTGACAGTTTCCATGGGCATTGAGTTACACTTTTGGGAGGATTGCTAGAAGCCCGTGTCCCCCTTTCTCCCCTCTTTCCCAGCAGTTCATGCTCTGTGAAGGGCAAATGAAGAGCATCAAGCTGCTGTGGGTCTGTATTGACTCACAGCCGCCATATGGCGAGGCATTTAAACAGTATGGGCTCATTGCAGGAATCTTGTTGGACGTGCAGGATTAACAATGTGCCCGCTCTTTGAGGGTGGATGTCCCTACACAGGGCGTATATGGTAGGGAAGGAATCCTCTCCCTGATATTCAGGAGCAGAGCCAATTCTACTCTTGTGCAGAACGAGGCGATCGCTTTCTGCCATTTCTTCCTCTTCAGAGGACAGAACGCCGGACAGTTTCGCTTGTGCCCCATAAGGAGGGCCTGCCGCCCTCAGGTTTCTCTCGGGCATGGCAGCAGAGAGCTTCCCAGCTGCCACTGCCAGGAAATGTTCTGCTGTTGTCCAGCCAACTTTTGCCAGTAGAATGGAGGGGGCGCCATTTTGTCTTTTGCCACAGGCTGGCTGTATTCATGAGGGAAAGAGTGTGTGGCAGGGTGTTTTTAGAAAAGTCAGCCATGACTGAGAAGCAACTGTGAGGCGATGGCATAGGAAGCCAGCCCTGAAGTCGTGACACTTCTTTCTCAGGGGCTGCCTGTCTTTGTCTCCTCAGAAGCCCCATGAACTCTTGAGGCAGCCATCTTGGTTTGAAGGCACAGTTTCTCTGGCTTCCCTCACCTGATGTGAGGTGACGATAAGCAGATATGGGCCATGCTTCCGCCCTCACATTGTGATGTGATATTTTCTCTTAAGCTAATGATGAAAAGCTAACAATAAGCTTTTCCCAAATTCAGGGGAGCTGTCTTACCTGTTTTCCTCAAAATTGCAAACTGTCTGGCAGCCCATTGCTTCCCGTCTTTATTTGCCCATTTTGCATGTCACTCGGGAGTCTGTATTAACTTAAATTAGTTAGACTAGGACAGGGGACAACCAGTTTACTTGTCGAATCAGGTGTGGGATTTGGGCTTTTTGAAGCAGTTGTATACCCTCTGCTTGAACCCACCTCACAGATTGTTATTGGGGGGGACTAAGTGTTGGGGCCATTTTAACAGCCCCCATCCCTATAGAGAAGGGCAGAATTATTACTGAAAGAGATGGAAGCCTTTCTACCTGGAGGAAGAAACAGAACTGGGGATGACAACAGCCGGGTACTCTGTTTCAAATTAAAATGAACGCTTGAAAAAAAGGGTGCTGGGTATGGAAATGAAGTCTTTAAACTTGCAAATACTGATAAAACGGCTTTTAATTAATTGGCAGTTAAACTGGGGGGGGGGCAAGAAATGTACAAAACAGGTTTTGGATATCAGGTTAGATCCCGTTTCTCAAAAGGACCATGTTTTCAAGAATCTTGAAGGAGGCAGTGAGAGCCAGATGAGGTTCAATCCTGGTTCTCTGCCCGACGGGGAGAGAGAATTGGGTAAGTATTCTGAACAGCAAAACTGGCTCACGGGCAATGTGAGCAAATTCTCTCTCCACTGGCTCGCTAATCCCCATGGAGGACACTTCCATTAATTGATGGCAGCTGAAGAAAGAAATGAGGGCCAGGGGTCAGGGTGTGTTTGCACAATTTGGTTTGCACACCCTTTTTGCTGTCAAAACTGGGCCGTCCCCTTGCCTTCTTCCTTTGCTATTCATCTGCTTGCGTTCCCATCTTGGTTTTCCCCTCATTTTCCTTGACCTTTTTTTCCAAGTTCATTTCCAGCCACTTGCAAGCAACGCAGCTGTTGTCTGTTTGTCCGGAGCAAATCTGTCCGAAGCAGAGCTGTCTCTTACCCACTTGCATCTTTCAACAGATGGATTCATCCATCAGGTGGGATTAACGTTCTGGTCTGGGGAGCCTGGGTAAGGGGTCCATTTTCTTCCTGATCCGAGCGAACTGGGGCTTCCGTGGCTAATCTGTGCAATGAGCTACTTACGGTTATGGCGGATGAATTGGCAGCCACTTGCAGCTCTGGGGTTTTAAAGTAGACAATATAAAACACTGGCAGAATGATGCCTACAAGGAGCATAACAAAGACCGCATTCCACCACTGGATCCCGCAGTCCGCTCCACTACTGGTTTCTTTCTGCTCAGGAGGTGACCAGTTTAGCGTTTCGATGCAATAATCTGTGTTAGGCGAGCCCTCCACCTGTGCGGCTTGCTCAATATTCTGGTCAATCCCTCTGAAATACTGATCAATGGGCTCAATATCGGAAAAGCTATTGTCTTCCTCTTTGAATCCAGGCAGTTCAACAGGTGATAGACCAGCAGCCTTGGGATAAAGCAGTTCTTCGTTGGTTTCTGTTAACACACCATTGACCTTGACTGGAATTTTAATGGATTTCAGAGCGTACAAATCCTGCTCCCGGATAAAGTTATTGATCCGTTTGATATCTGCAACCTGAAGAGTTCAGAAAGGGAAAAACCAGCTTTGTGAGTAAGTACCTGAACAAATACAGTGAATAAACAACTGTTCCTTGCTTCATTCTGAGACAGAAAAAAACAAGGGGCTGGAAATCATCTCAATAGTGTTCTCCCCCCCCCCCAATTGTTCATTATTTGAAATATATTCCTTTCCTGGCTAGTGAAAGGGCTAGTTTGCTTCTCGTTGTACAGTTCCTTATTATTAGCTGATTTGTCTATGGCCATCATTGACTTTCTTCAATTGCCAACAGGGTAATTTCTCCAGTGTTCAGTAAATTGTTGAGGTTTTTAATTATTGCTGCTGCTTTATGCCATCTTTGAAATTGATGTGGATAGTCAGATGTAACTATTTTATACAACTGGATAAGGAAAAACTGGGCTGGCACTATTCTGTGCATTTACCCACTGAATAGTAAATTACCTGCCTACTAGTGGTCTAGCCAGGACAATGGAAAAAACACTGGACTTACTTCACTTTTAATAATGTATTACAATTATTTGTTGTTGTGTATTTACAAATGGGGCATTTCTTGCCTACCCAGCTAAATCATAAGTTCTAGCTACAGGCTTGATAATCTAGACAGTTTAACTCCTGTTAAGAGTTAATGGAAGGAACTCAGAACTCATCGATTCTGATGACACTTAAATCCTCAAATCTTCTTTTGGAAAGCTGTTCTATAAATTGTTCCTCTATAAATTGTCAACAAGCTTTCCAATGCATTTTTCATCTGTAGAAGTGTGAATTGAAGAATACAGTCTGCCCTGCTCCATATTCAAATATGGGTGTCATTTGGACATATTAAATCACAGTGTTACAAAAAGTTTTGGGCACACTAAATGCCCAAAACATGTAAAGCTACATCAGAGGTGTGGGGAGCACAAAAGCCTGAAGATGATCTTTGTAATGGAAAATCACAATTGAGTGTGTCCTCCTCACACCAGATCCCAAGTTCAGCTTCATTTCTAGTTGCTGCTAGACAGTTTCATTAATGCCTGCAAAGAGGCAACAGCCTTATCTTTTTTATGCACAGTGGTTCCTATTTTGCTATCTTAGTTGCTAGCTTTAAACTTCAAAACAACAACAAAAGCCACAATCCGAGTACAATCCATTACATACTGAGCATTCCATTAAGTGACATGTGCATTGTGTAACCCTTGCCAGAATTGTTGGTGTCACTGTGTTAACATGCTCCCTCATAACAAGAACAGGAGAAAAGTTTCTCTAACCACGCAGAACTTCATAAATCTCTCCTGCAGGGGCAGGACATTTTTCAATTTGTTCAAGTGCTCCATTACGTCTATCTCACTGCACCACAATAAGCTGGTTAGACTCAAGTCCAAAATTCCAGAGACATGATGCTAGTTGGGGTGGCAATTCTGAGTGAATAATACACCAATATTCTGACTTGATATGTAGCTTCTTGTGTTTACATGATCAAGCAAGGCTGTTCCCATTCTGATCTATCCTGATCTTCAAGTTACACAATACTCTTATTCTATCCCTCCCCCCGCCCCTGATTTCAAAGACTTTTCACCAGTGGTTCTGTAGTGGCAGGTAATTAAAGAATAATTCTTGTTACCTAAATAGCACAATAATTTAGGTGACTGCACATAAGCACAGGGGAAACTCCCAGTTCTGCCTGCTTTGTTTGGGAGCAGATGCTTTCGGTCTCAAACGGAAAACCAGTTCCTAGACTTGCAACACAAGGGACTAGGAATTAATTCTAATAACTGCATCACTAAAAGGGAAGCCATCTATGTGAATGATGCAGGTCGAAACAAACGGCTTCCTTCCAATGAAGTCACTTCTTACTTTGCATCCATACTGCAGGGCCAGCTTGTTGAGAGTGTCATCTTTTCTGACTTCTCGTTCGAGCAGCACCACATCCCCAACTTTCTCCCGAGTAGTACTGCGTCGCTGCATCTCTTTCCCCCTTGCTCGTAGTTCCATGACATCGAGTTCCTCTTCCGATGATTCATCTGAATCAGACTGTCCACTTCGGAACAAGTAAACTTGGCTGCTTGAGAATTTGCGGACAGTCGTAGGAGCTTGGAAAGATCCGACGAGCCCCTCATTTAGTCTCATATTTTACAACAGCCTCTGCAAGACAAAACCAGATTTTGCATTGGTGAACAGAATGAATAATATAACCGAATGACCCCTGGAATCCTGGATAATGCAGGCAAAGCTTAGCTCAAAAGCTCGGCAGGAGGAGCTTGACTACTAAATATTTTATTTATTTAATTAATTTGTATCCTGCCGATTTAGACAGAAGCCTACTCTGGGCGGCTAACAACAATATTAAAATAAAAAACAACAATATTAATACACTAGAAGATGGCAAAATAAGTTAGGTATCGACAGGAGGGAAGGCCTATCTGAAAAGTCAGGTCTTAAGTTGGCTCTTAAAAACACCCAGTGAGGGAGCCAGACAGATCTCTGACGGCAGACTGTTCCAAAGTTGAGGGGCCACTGCCCAGAAGGCCCGCTTTCTTGTTCTTTCTCTTTGGGCTTCCTCCAGTGTTAGGCCCCTCAGCTGCCCTTCCTGGCTAGAACGAGTGATTTGGGGGAGGAGGCGTTCCGCCAGATATCAAGGTCATAAACTGTTTAGGGCTTTATATGTCATCATTAATACTTTCAAATCAATGCAAAAATGATTATATGATTATTAAGCCACAGGATAGGGCCTTAGTCTGTACCCCTGCTGTTCTTTATAGATTTTGCTGCAACTGTCATGCCTTTTTAATTTTTTTCCCCTTCAGGTTTAATACATCTGTTGCACGAAGTATCTTATTTGACAGCTCTTTAGCTTTATGTATGATGCAGAAGGCTACTGGAATAGAGATGCAGGCCTTCATTCACTCTGTCCTTCAAACATAGTTGGCAGTTAAGCCATTGCAAACAAGCAGGGTATGCCATGAATACCCCTCTTCCCTTCCCCCCCCCCGGCAACCTTTCTGGACACTTAATGCCCACAAGCATTATCTGACTTCAGCAAGGCTGGAAGAATGATCCTTTGGTGGGTGGGTCTGCCAGCCAGATGTTTTGAACTGCAAGACCCATAATTCCTCACCATGGGCCATGCCAGCTAAGGTTGATATGAAAGCTGCAAGTCAAAACAATCATCACACCCCTAACTTTATGGTTCCTTACAATACTTTAATTATTATAGCAAAACAGCTTCTCCACATACATATGTTAACAGTATTCAACTGGTTTAAAAGTTCCCCTTTTTCTCACAGGGAAGCCAAACCATTCTAAGAAGGATGCTGACACATCCTGTGAATGCTTAGTGACTAATTCCTTGTGAGGAAATCTATTACAGGTAAGCTTCTTTTGCTTGTTGTCAAGTAAATCTGGCCACAGAAAGCAAGAGTTTAAGATAGCAGTTCCTTTTCTTTCTTTCCTCCTTTCAGTCTGGTATTCTTCTGGTGCACCACTGCCATTCACTTTACAAGGCATGAGGTTATATCTATTTATTTATATTTTATTTATTTATTTATTTCATTTATATCCCGCCCATCTGGTCGATCTCACCCAGCTCTTCCCATATCGGTGTGTTGTTCATTTAACAGGACTGTGCTGCAAGAGGCAAGGGTTTTAGAAATATCCTCTTTATCCTGGATCCTACATTCAGGTGGCCAGAGTAAGCAGGCTTAGTTACTCTTGCCATTTCCATCTTCTCCACATGCCTGCAGGACAGGTGAGGCTCATGAATTACTGGCCTGTGTTTTTGTGACTGAGTGGTGATGAGATTCTGTCAGAGGCAGGAACCTAAGATGTTCTTGTTCTGAGTCATGGCCACTGGTCTGTTTAGACCAGTATTGCCAACTCTGGCAGCAGCTCTATTTCTTGCAGGATTCTTTATTTATTTATTTATTTATTGGACTTATATACTGCCCCATAGCGCTACAAGCACTCTCCGGGCGGTTTTACAATTTTAATTATACAGGCTACACATTGGCCCCCCAGCAAGCTGGGTACTCATTTTACCGACCTCGGAAGGATGGAAGGCTGAGTCAACCTTGATTTGAACCCCAGGTCGTGAGCACAGTTTTAGCTGCAGTACAGCGTTTTAACCACTGCGCCACGAGGCTCCTGTTGTTGTTGTTTAGTCGTGTCCAACTCTTGGCGACCCCATGGACCAGAGCACGCCAGGCCCTCCTGCCTTCCACCGCCCCTGGAGCTGGGTCAAAGTCATGTTGGTCGCTTCGATGACCCTGTCCAACCAATTCTTCCCTAGCCCTCCCTTAAGTCTTCCTGATTTCTCCACGGACACTACATGGCCACGACTCTTTCCTGGCAACTCCCACCCTATCTCACAGCAACAAATTGGCTTATGCAATGGAGATGGCAGGAACAGAGCTTTGCGTTCAAAGGTGACCTGCCTTCTACCTGGACTCCCTTTCTTTAACCTTCTGACCTGGCCAAATACATGGATTTGTTTTTGGCTCGCCTGCAGTGTGTTATCATGGAGACATACAGAGAAAGCTGTAAGGAATCCAAGGTTGCATCCATCCCTTGGCAGGTCAAAGGTTCTTTTGGCAGGCGTGGTTCTCTGCCTTCCACCCCTGCAGACCTGAAACCTCGACCTCTCGAAACCTGTTCGGGCCTCTGCCTAAATACCCCCAAACCCCCCCCCCCCGTGTGCTAAAGCAAACAAGAACTGCCCTGCTGGAATCAAAGCAAAGTTCGCAGGATCCAGGATCCTTTTTTCCAGCAGTGGCCAGCAGGATAGATAGGAGTAGGAAGTTAAGAAGAAGCACGAAGCCAACCCCCCCTTCCCATCAACTGGCCGTCGGTCTGCCAGTCTCCCCAATGCCTCTCTCTCCCTCTTCTGGGCAGTCCAACTAGTCGGTTCCACCAGCCCAGGTTGGCCAGGGGCCCACCCACGGTCTTGGCTAAGACTCAACCGTTTACCGGACTGGGTGGTGCACTGAAGTGACACCTTTCCCAGCAGCTACCTCGGGGGGGGGGGATTTGGGGTTGGGATCGGGACCGGCCACAGCCCTGTCTCAACTGTGCTGGGAGATCCGGGCGTCATCAATCCACAGGGCAAACCCCCCACCCCACCTCCCCGATGGGCGGCAGGAGTCAAGTCTGTTCCAAGCCAACCTTCACTAAAAAGCGCCCCCCCACCCCGGCAGCAAACGACTTGACGCCTCCTCCTCGCGGCCCCTAAATACTTTTCTTTGCACCCCAGGAGCGGAACGACCAACGTTTCCAACCCCCATAACCGGGGAAGGGAGCGCTTCCGCCCATTCCACCGCCCCCGCCGCGCTCCTTCCTTTCCTTCCCCCCCTCCCCGTGCAAAGTCTACAAACAAGGGAGCCGCCCGAAAACGCAGGGGAAGAAAGGTTTCCAAAGATCCCCCCACCGCCTCGCCCCTGCATCGTTGAACCCCCAACTCACCGCCACCCGCGCCTCTCTCTTCTCTTTGCAATCGGGCTCAGCCGCTCTCGCTACTCGCTCGCCCTCCTCGCGATTGGTCGGGAGGCCCCGGGATGCCCGGGCAAGCGCCGCGTCCTAACCAATCGCCGGGGAGAGCCCGCAGAGCCTGGGAAATCAAGTTCGGTGGAGCGGTCAGCGCAGGAGGCGGAAAGAACGACGTCGCTTTTAAAGGGCAGGAAGGTTTGTCGGTCTCGTCCTCCCACTCCCGGGAAAGGGGAGGCGGGGAGCCGGGCCGGCGCTAGGGCCCATGGAATTCCAGAAAGAGCAGCGACCACAGGTGCCTGACATTCCTGGTTACCCATTCCAGAGCCGCTGCATTACCCTGATTAAGTGAATTAATCCGGTGCTGCTTTCTAAGGGGTATTTTCTCACCCACTCACCCCCTGAAGCTAAAACAAAGCAAAGGCTTTCTGGTGCGGCAGGAGGGGGACCCATGATGAGGCCGGCGTGAGGTAGGAATAAGTTTTCTTCCAGCGTTTTCGCGCAAATGGTACCGTTTTAATATCATGAGGACTAGCGCCCTGAATAGGTTGCGAGCATTTCTCCCCCACCCCCGCTTGTTAAATGTTTCAGGGGCTTCTCCAGCAACAGGCCCAGTGGTTGCTCTGCTTGCTTCCTTCCGAAGGTAGGAGTGATTTATTTTGCCTCTTGCAAAAAAATGCAGTACTGTAATGATTCTTGCATAAGAGCGTGGGAGTAGCCGAGCCTGAACCGCCTCTGCATTCTGGAGTTTGGGAAAGTTAAATTTGTTTTTTTGTTTTTTAAATTTCCGAGCCTTGCTGTTGAGTACATTAAATGCTCCCTAGTTTTCGGGACGACTTACCCTACTCAGAAATTAGTCCCCTTGTTTTCGGTAGGACGTGACCTCGTATTTAATACAAGAAAATAGCTATGTGAAATGGAATCCAAAGTTCTGGATTAAGTAATATTTTTAAGGGATCAGGGAGAAGTTGCTAATAAGGTACACTTCTGAGTTTTGTTCATTTATTTAAATTATTTATATGCCACGTTTCTCCCTATAGGGGCCCTAAAGCCGCTCACAACAGATAATACAACAAATTTAAAACATTTCATAAATATTGCGTTTAAGAAACCAGAGTTTTCTAGAGAATTCTTTTATCAGGCGAAGGTGGTGTAAAGTTTGGGGTTCAAGCAGAGAGTTCAAAAATTGGGTCAGAGAGGGTTTGCTTGTGACTCAGGCACTCAAAGCTGCCAGCAAGGGAAACGTGAACTCAAAAGTTCCCCTTTTTAGTTAGTTAGTTATTTGTGATCCACTAAATGTATTGGATAATGCAGAATTTTACTCTGTTTGAAGAATCCTTGGGATAGCATTCCAGGCAAGGTTTCTTTATTTCCCTGCGAAGGCAGTGGAGATCAGAAGGGTGTCTGTAAAGCTGTGTCCCATAAATTGTAGTTGTCTCATCCAATGAGTATTTTCTAACCTATCTCTTTGTGTTCCCCCTTGCAAAAAAAAACTGTGTAGTGCGTTCTTATGTGTATCTTGAGATATTTGTGTAGGATTGGCTTCAGGCGTGGATACCCTTCGAGGTAACAGGGCTGCGGTGTGCTCCTTCTCTCCCTGCTTGCTGGCTCTCTCCTTCCCAGGGCAGGAACATCTTGTGTGCAATGAGACCGTTTTCCTAGGAGTCGGACAAGCTGCCAAATAAAAGCAGGAGGTCTTTTACTGATCAGTAATCTTCCCCTGCTGGCAATGCCATCAGCCTTAGGCAGACAAAATTTAAGGAACAGAATTTTGACCATTGTCTGCTATTTATAACATCATTGCTTTACTGTATTATTATTATTTTAACTTGAGATCTTGTTAACTGAAATTGGAACCTTTGTTAACTGAAATTGGAACCTTTTTTCCATGTAAAATCTGTGGTCTATGCTGAGCAGTGGCCCGGCACCACAAACTCATTTTCTTTTCTTCATTCTGAACCATCTGGAGAAATTTGGGCCAGTCTCTTTCTCAAGCCAACCCGGAGCATGGTGAGGATCAAGTCATCTTACAGCTGTTTGAAAGGAGGAATACAAACGTTGTACTCTAATAACTCTTCATAGACTTAGTGTTGAATTTCTCTCTTTTCTTCCATATATCCATTTATATATCTTCAGGCTTGACAGTTTGAGCCAAAACTTCAGCTGCAGCTGTTCAAATTGGCAGGACTCATCTTGAGAGATTTGTTTAGGACTTGAGCAACTGGATATTGCAACCCATAAATTGTTTTAGCAATTATTTCTGTTGACGTGATCCCTAATTTGGGATTAATAAAAAGCAGCGTGTAATGAGCTCATGTATCTTCTTTTTCAACATATTTCTCCCGGTGGGGCTCCACCATAGCGAGGATAATGGCAAAGAGTGAGTATGTTGTTTGAAACCAAAAGACGGACTCTATGAGGAAAGCCTTTTGATCAGCCCTTTGCATTCTTTCTTCCTTTTCTGGGGGAAAGAAGCGGAAATGTGTGGCAATCCCTTTATGCATTAATCTCACTTTTGCTCTGAGGAACTCGGGGGATGTGGGGTGTATAATATAGGAAGCTGCCTTATACAGTCTTGGATTATCAGCTTGTCTACAAGTACCCTGTTCAGCAGAGAAGAGGAACTTCTGGCCTTGTGGGTCTCATCCACACCATGAAATGTTTGAATCTGGCCGTCAAGGCCTCCAAAGGGGTGCCCGTCGGCAGTTAGTGGCTAGAACCCTGTTGATGTTTTGGTCAGGTTGGTGAGACAACTTGCTGTTTGGCTAATTGACCCCATCTCGTCTGCCCTGTCAGCTCTGTGTCCAGTTACACGAGTGAGGTGGGTCCCAGCACTTTGCCAGTGACACAGACCCCCCCCCCTTTTGTCTTCCCCATTGGGAAGTTGAGGGGGCTTGGAGAAGGGCCTTTTGTGGGCAAACAGGCGTCCAAAAGCCATTTCAGAGGCTCCCTTGGGATTCACCCGGGGTGGCTGGAGGCCCAGTTTGAAGGATGCTGTCTTCTTCTTGCCTTCTGCCTTTTTGCAGACATGCACAGGAGAGGGTGCTGAGCCAGGAACGATCGGCTGGGCTGCCAATTTGGATTCCGCTGCAGTTTGTACAAGCCCTCTGGGCTGTGTTTTTGCTCTTCCCTCCCCTATCCTGGCTGGGTAAATAGGCTAAGATGCAACGCAACAGGATACAATCTTGTATGGCTTAAAACAATGACATTGAAAATAGCCAGAGCAGGCTAACACACACCAGTTAACATGTTGTGAACATTAACATCTAATAGCTCAGCAGGCCGCCTATATGCTGGAAAATGAATATTTATAGGCTGTATAAAAGGCAAGCCAGATAAATCACATCCCACAGTTTTAACCAGAATTGGACGGGAGTGTTTATTTCTTACACTTGGGCCCTGCCTTTCTTCCGATGAGATCAACACAAGCAACACATCTGTCTTCTCTCGCTTTCTCTTGACGACTGCCCTGTGAGGTCGGTCGGGGCTATGACAGCAACTGGCTTTAAGTCACCGAAAACTTACACATAACGTTATACTCATTCATTAGGGAATGTCATTGTTCTGTAGCTTCACAGCTTAGAAGACATAGGTTTTGGGATGGTCTGCTGGTTTTGTGGTGGTAGGAAGAAGAATATATTGTTGTGGTCGCAAGACTTGCCCAGTGATTCCAGCTGGTTGTTGGATATTTATCAGCCTCCCCCTCCCCGGGAAAGACTTTGATTGGCTTCCATTCTGTTGTCCAATTTCTTTTAGGTATTTTGGGATTGATTTGCATGGGTCAGATTAAAGGGAGCATCCTCTACCTCTAAAGGTCTCTCTAAACTTAACAGCCTGTCTGAACCTGCAATGAACTTTGTTGGGACACATCCCCTATGTTGCTTAACAGTGGCTTTGTTGTGCAGTGTCCCTTTCCCCCACTTTCTCATATTATAAAGTAGAGGTTTCTAAATTTGTATCTACAGAGACACAGACCTTGAGCACATTGGTACTCTTTTTTTGTGTTTCATTATAACTGGTCACTTTGCCGTGTTCTTTGTTGATAGGTGCCTGGGAATTTTGAGAGCTGTAATCCAAAAACTCCAATCAGCTCACCTCTAGTTTTGACGTAACGGATTAGGTCACCGACACTTGGCCTTGTTCGCTTAATGTTTTCTTTTATGTGGAGTGAAATGCCACAGATGACGTGTTTTTTTAAAAAATTACGCTGCAAATTTATCGCAATCAGTCTTTTCCTGATATTATTAACCAGCCATTGCCAAATGACATAAAGGACCACTTTTTAAAAGTATTTTTTCTAATTTTGTTGGAAAAGACAGATTTGTGCCATGACATTCTGTTAAAGTTGAATATGCTTTTCCGATGAGCCTTTTCTTTAATGACTTGGTCTCCTATGTGGTACGTATTTCCTCAATATTCTGTCAACTGCACGACAGATCCAGAAACACTGAAATCATTTTATGTTTTGTTGATTTTACACACACACACACACACACACACACACACACACAACACACACACACAATCTTGAATTGAAGCCACGGCCTTTTCCCGAAACATCTTTTGTCTTAAAAAAAACAAAAATGTTTCTTTTTCATTCTATACTATTGCCCAATTGATTTAATCTCTTCATTTCTATATTTTAGACGTATTGGCAAATAGGGTGATATCCCTGGGGAAAATAAATATTTATATTTCCTTCTGACTCGGAAAAAAACATTTTAAACTATTTGAAAACACATGTGTTAATCTGTGTTCTTGTCTTGTTGTCATAAACTTTGCTCTAAGGTTGGATACTTTACTTTTTAAAGATATGCTTGAACAATCAACCTATTCCATTTCAGTTCCATGAAGCAGCTTTGGGCTTTATTATGGTTTGAAAACAAGAGAGGTAACCCAGCCCCCATTCTGTTTAGACAGTGTAGGCAACAAAGTGTTCCCAAGCAATTTGCTACACAAATACTGCTCTTTCTTCCTTATTTAGTCTTGAATATTTTTTTAAAAAAATTATCAGTGGTATATTTTCTAGTAGGAAAACAAGGGCTGGCTCAATATTCATCTGCAGATAAAACCATAGTGCTGTTTTGACTGCAATAATATTCATGAACAGGGACTGGATCATAGTAAGGATGGGGGGCATGTTTGTCTGGATTAAGGTTAAACATGGATGGCACATAACTATTCACCATGACGTACTGCAGGATCCGTATGTTTCTGGTATCTGGTATCAAACATGTAGGGCCATGTCGGGTCAGGTATTTTCACATGGGTGATGTATGTCTATGTAACTGAGAGGCGAGCCTTTACCTGCAAGGAAAGCCTGGTTCCAAGTCTCAAAGACTCCAATCATCCCTCAGAAAGAAATCCTAGAGGAGAAATTCTTAGGGTTATCCAGCAGATGATGCTATTACCATATCAATGTCAGCTAATAAGTAGTTAGCCAGGAAGAGGGCCTGTTCTCCACTTCATTCTGTTTGCTGATTCACCAGTTATGTTGGTGAGACCTTGAAAATGAGGGGCTGGCATGTGAAATGGCACCCCTATGTTCGGATGTAACAGATTCAGATAAGAATAGTCTTCAGGAATGGGAATTTTCTGGTGCTAACATGTTTCATGTAAGCCTGGTAAGTAAGGCTTAGCAAGTTATTTTTTTAGAAGTAATTAGTTACAGATATATTCCCCCTCTTGCTGTTGCTGTTACATTTTATTAAAAATAAAAATAAAAAAATATATTTTCTTCTTTCTCAGAATTAACTAAACACCCGCAGGCATCTCGATGCTACAAGCCACTAGCCTATAGTATAAAGCACACATTTCTCCGATCCATTACATTCTAACTCCAGTGCCTCTAACAGAGCACAAAACCCAACATGAGCCAGCATTCGAATCATGTAATTTTGCTCTGCTACCATTTCATGGGACCACACTCCCAGAAGTATAAAGATAGAACTATAAAAGCAGAGCTCTGTGTCACCTTAAGGACTATTTTATTTTGCAATTTGATCAGTGTTTTTGGTGGCACAAGACTGTTTCTTCCTGCAGCAGACTAACATAGCTACCTCCATTAAAAAGGTACAATTACTGTTCCATTGAATGTTTATATATCCCTCGTTCTCTTACAATCATAATATAATGCAGTTCCACCGTTGTTATTTGGAAAAGTAATAAACTGCAAGTTATTTACGTACAAGCTCTGATATGAAGAGGTATGTACGGAGCGGTTGTTTGGTACGCATTGCTAATTGTAATAACGTGTACTGTATAGTATAAAATATAAATGTAATACAGATGTAACATCTTTTGCATTTACAAAGCATCTACTTTGAGCTCACAAATGCCACAGAGTTGTTTGTCATTGTGATAGATCTTTACTTTGCTATTCTTCATAATAGTGTTTTAGACACAGAGTAAATCAGTGGGGCCAGTTTTTGTGATGATGGTTTTGTGTTATTAGTTTATAAACTTTGGGTCTTTTATCCCAACCTGTTGTGTTCTAGGTGTGTTAGACTATGTTGTTTTCCTTGACCAAGTTGTACTGGGTGGGAGTTTTAGTTCAATATATCTGGAGGACCTCAAAGAAGGCTGTTTTACAAGGTGGCAGAAGGGACTATAATAAAAGATGCTAGTTAATATATTTCAAAGGACTAACTAGTTCAAGATAGTGATAGCCAAAGGACACTCTCTTTAGGAATCTGCTTGTCCTCTGAAGTCAAAGTGAGAAAGCTCTTACGTTTGCCCTATTCAGCAAAAAACGTGTGAGGGAGGTTTCTTTATGCTTATGCCTGGTTGGTAGACGTTTGCACCTGATAATCTGGTTGGCAGCCTCCTTAATGATTTTGGATGCCTTTTAAATCTCTGCCTAACCATTTTCAAATATATTGCTAATTTGCCTTGGTGTATTGTACCTGATATTTTGTCTGTCCTTATCCATTACATATGATTTTGTGCATTAACTATTAACATGTTTCAGTCTTTTTCATTTATATTGAGTTATCGTTAAAGAATTGCCGGCAAACTAAAAGCTGTCCTTCAGTTTGGATTTCCCCAATGATGTCTGCCTAGAATATGACTAGAATATATATGGAAAATAGCTGCATTGTTGTAGATAGGAAACAGAAGGAAGTTATCTGTGTTTGAGGAATATTGCTGAGCGTTGTAATGATTCAGTTGGAAATACTGTACCAGTTCTGAATGGGGTTATCTTATCGTGACAGTACTTCTCTTGCTTCTACTGAAATTTCTATGGGGAGAAAGGCAGCATATGTTAACAACAGCATTGCTGGCATCCAAGACCCTGGGAAAGCTAGGTTTTCTAGTATCTGATGACCAATTGAGTACAGAGTGGAACTTGTAGCCTTGAATGTTACTTCGATGTATTCTAGAACTCCTAACCTCCAGAATTATCTTTTCTGAGCCCTACTGATTTACTCTGTGTATAAACTTTTGTCTCAGAATAAAACCTTGATTGATCTTGCAAAGGTTGATAGTCCTAGCGAATGACAGTTGCGAAATTTTAAAATTACTTTTTTAAAAATTAAGACACTAGAAATGCTTGGCCAGGCCTTTGGGGATTGCAATGAAGAGAAGGTGTTCCATTATCTGGCTTGGCGTACAGGAACCCCCTTCCAGAGAAACCTCTTAATGTAACAACAGCCAGGCCGGCTTGCTCGTAACCTCCCAGGAGACCTGTAAAGCTGTCAGCTTGGCTGAAGTCTTGAGGAAACAGGTGAGCTCCAAGGACCGAGGAGGGAACACTGCATTCTAAAAACAGCTGATGAAGGATCATGTATTGCTCAGATACGCCTTGCAAAGCACAGTAAAGATTGTGGTCTTGCTTGTTCCTGGAGAGTTCAACAGAGGACCGTTCCAGAGGGAAAGTGAGGCAAGAGGAAAAAATGCAAGGAGCTTTGTGTCTTCAAATTTTGCCAGGTCCATCCGTTGCAGGGGCCATCCCTGCCAGATCCTCTGCAGATGCAGCTTAGAACTACAGAAGAGAATTTATTGGCAGGAGCCTCGGGACTTCCAGCCAAACCCATTACAGCATTAATTCTCACCCTCCAGCTTAATGCAACACGTTTTGGCTTGCTAGGGAACCCCAGCAGGCTTTCTATTGTTTCGGAAGCACAACAATTACAATCTCGTCTGGCTCGTGTCTGCGATAGACTCTTCCAGGCCTGAAGATGTGTTAATAGAGAATGACCTTTGGATGAGTTCTGTAACATTTGGCTGCTGTTTTATAGCTTCACTGGGAGGCTGCCTCGGTTACTACTACCTCTCGGCTGCCTCACATTGCAGGATGTCCCCTGATATGGTGGGATGGCTAAGCTGTCAGTGTTCGGCAAGAGCAGGGGTGGAGTTTCTCGCCTGATCCTAGAGCTGCCTCCAAGGGTCTGGTTTAACAGTAGGATCTCCTTTCCAGTTGGCCTCTTGTGACCCATCTTGGCTGTGGCCTCGGTGCTTGGTTCCAAGGTAGTAATGAATGTAAGTTAGCGTGAGAGTAAACATGATTGCTGCACCCCTGGGCTGGTAAAAGAAGATTCACCCCCGGCCTCCCTTGGCATGAAAAGCAGTATTCCTCGAGCTGCAACTTCTCTCTCTTCTCTCTGTCCAGTTCTTTTATAAAGCTGATGCAGCTGTATCAGCATCAAGGTATTTTACAACCTTCCTGCTGCTTCCTTGAATGCTTCCGAATGTGTTGCCTGGAGACTATGGGGCAGCCGGCAACTCCTTTGCGGGAGAAATCAAGCTCCGGCAGAACCATTGGGGTGGGGTAGGCAGCCAGATCAAGGAGAAGGTGCCTAATTCCCTGACTTAGTTGGGTTATGACTGCGCGCAGCTCTCCAATTTTGTCTACTGTCAAAGGGGCGCATGCAGCTCATGCTTTGTCACATGCAGGCAGTGAGGGGTAATTTGTGTTGTGTTCATATCTATGGGACATGTGGCCATAACAGTGGGTGCGCCTGAGGTTACAGCTGAAGTGGAGACTCCAACATCCTGCAAAGCATTTGAAATTGGAAACAAACAAGTGCTTGGTGAGCCCCCCAACCTTTTCCTCCTGAGCTTATATAACATATTATTGATAGAAGCTAGGTATACCTTTTAAAACTAAGATTGTAACTATGTATTGTTTTAATTTCCTGATTTACTTAGTCCAAGTGGTGTCCTATGAGAGACAGATGGTGTGTGACAGTATGGAGCTAATGGAGAAAACAACCCTTCAAGCTACAGGTAAAAGCAACTCTTGTTAAAATCATTACGAAAAAAAATACTGTTTTTATTATGATTGCTGCTATATTGCACTTCTTATTTCTCAGCATTGCTGGTGGATGGGGGCAGACCCAAATATTAAGCCTAAACATTGGGAGATAAGAATTTGTGCATGAGATGATAAGGATGATGATGATTAACACACCAAACCTTTTTTAACCTCAAAGTAGAATGATCTCTTTTAATTTACAAATGGTTCAACATGCCTGACTAGGCTTTTTCAACCAAGAGAAGGGGGTTCATATGCAAGTTAAATGATGAAAAAATATATACACTTTTTAAACTCTGTATTGAAAAACAACATTGTATTACTGCCTTGTATTAGAATACAATACTGCAAAGAAAGTTTTTAAAACCACAGACAAAAGAAACGAGAGCACCATACGATAGCGAGAGTTTCCCCTCTGTATGTGACAAAAATTGTGCAATTACCAATGTAAGGCACTTTTATGAACAGTACATGGAATATAATTTTACAAAATGGAAATGACCATGACTGTAATCCAGCAGTGCTGGGCTCAAAGTGAACAAACCAAAGACATTACCGTAGCTACCCTGAAACCAACGGGTGTCTGTTCCTCCCCCTGCCCCCAGTATGAAGGAAAAGCATTGCTATAATCTAGTGGTGTTCGGGGAACTTCAGACTCCTTCAGAAACAGATCAGGAGTTCCTCAGTGGGAACATTAGTAGCGATGGAGAAATGTCTGTTGAAGATACACCATTCACCAGTATGAATATTGTTCAACCGTCTGGCTTGCAGGGAAAGTTCTCTTGGGCTGACTGATGAGAAGCAATGGGAGCCCGAGTCATTCGTGATGTTTGCATATGGATACAATCTGCAAGAGAGCCTCCACTAGTTATGGACACCATCTGTCCAAGTCACAACCCTGATCTTCCATCAGCTACAGAAAGTTGTCAGTCTTATGGGACACTTGTGTAATTTGACTGGCTTGGGAAGTGGAAGCAGTCCTGAAATTCTTCTTTTGCTTCTTTTTCCAAAGAGTGCCAAAGAACTTGCAGTAGGCTAAGGATATTTCTGATAAAACTCAATATTTCTTTTCACTTTGCCCTGGTACCTTCTTAGAAATGGTTCTTAAAATGCCCCCTTGGGTACAATCAATATATGCTTTAAAGCATGGGGTGGGTCAAATATGGCCCTCCAGATGTTTTTGGACTCCAACTCTCATTAGCCATAAGCAGCATAGCCAGTGGTGAGCAGCGGTGGGAGGTGCATGCCAGCTGTCTTCATCTATGCTGAAGTGGCAAAGAGCCTTCTGGGTTAAACCAAGGACCTATGTAGCCGGTCCTTCCATTTTTGGTGTTCCTTTTCGACCGTTCAGAAGTCGGTGCTTCCACCTTTACCTATTCTCTGTCCCACATCCCTGTCCCCAATATCTCTGGAGAGGGTTTGACTGCCTAAGCTCAAAGCTAGAAAAGAGCAAAGCCTTCCACACGGGGCTCTGAAGCCACTTCAGGGATTCCTCTCACGCTTCCCTAGCCGAACGAGCCCTTTTTATGGTACAGAACTCTTGTGCAAAGATTTGAAAAGAGCACTGGTATTAAACGCAAACAAACTGCAAATACAGGGACAAGCTGTGGTTTCAACAATGAACTGATTTCAACAATAGACATAACAGAGAAATTTAGACCACTCTTGTTCCTTTTATCAGATATATAACCAAGATTTCCTACCAGGTAGGGGAATGGTTTGTATAAGGTTTGTCAAGTGAACCTCTGGGCTGAGAGGGAATCTTTGAACCCAGGTCTCCTGGCAGAGTCCAGTACATTGCTGTGCAATGGGTCCTAAACAAGTTTGTTTTATTTACTTGTTTAGCTAGAATGTATTGCTCAGTGTTGAACTGAAATTGGTGGAAGTTACACATACTGCTAAATATTGAAATACAGTTGGTTTTGTTTCTGAAATAGATCCATAGAAGCTTTCTTTGGATGTTGTTGGTTACAGGCATGCTAGCAAGAAACGAAACACAGTCTTGACATGAGTAGACTCACTATTGGGACCACAGTTGTGCAACATTCACCCCTGTATTCCTAGACAGACAGACGTTCTCTGAGGTGAAGAGTCACAGAATACCCTTTTCCCACTAGAACCTGATAATTTAGGAGTAGGAGGTTAGCACCATTGGAATCCGGAGAGTGAACAAACTCCTCTTACTCCATTTATTGCAAACATTCCTATTGCCTGGAGCAAGGTTTTGGGCTTGCCCTGAATTTTCTTAAAGCACCATTAGCTTTTGCTCTACATTGGAACAGTTGGTACTGCCCCAGCTTCATGCCCTGTTAAACCTCATTTCTTCCACAGCATTTGTCCCATCAGAAGGATTTCAAAGCTTCCAGTTTCCATTGTTGATCAGTTCCAGTTACAGCATTATATGGGTGAAATGTAAATTTGGTGGCACTTCCACATATTGTTACAAACGGTAGAAGTGAATTTGGGCAGGGGCCTGTCTGATTTCTGGATTCGAGACATCTGAATGTCTGACTGCGAGCAGCTAAGTTGTGGTGGAAAGAATATCTTCTTGGTTTCCAAGCATGTGTCATCGTAGGCAACCGGTGACGGATGTTACTTAACGATTTGCTGGTTAATCACTTAATCCTTTGCATTAAAGCCGCCTTCCATCATGGACAGTCATTTTGGTGGGATGCATCATGGAAAATGGAAATGCTTCAGGCTGCTCACAGCTTCACTTTCCATATGGCTTGAGCTGCGAAAGGCAATTGGCATTGGTGTTTCATAGCAACTCAGAGAAATTACATTTTGTTTCATTGGTTCCACTTTCTTTCAATTTTTCTTTCTTTCTTTCAAAGAAGTTCTGAAACTAGATGAGAAACTGGAGTGGCTTAGGAGAAATAGCAAGGAGCAGGTCATGAAATCTAGACTTTTAGTTACTGGGTTCACCTCTGTTCAGAAACACTAAGGCCAAGAAATGAGATTTCACCCTTATTTCAGCTGTTGCCAAACAATCATTTAACACATTTAATTCCATGGCTAGATCTTTAAGGAGAACAGGGGCCGCGGCCTCTCCCGAGTTCCTAATTTATCTTAAGCTAAAGAACAGCATGCTATACATGCAGCTTTCTGCGTTCAACTGTCCCCCCCCCCCGCTCCAAATAAAACCACAACACTTGAACTTGGCTTGGATTCTAATTAGTACTGCTGTTTAGGAAGATCCCCTTCAAGTTCAGTTTGGGCATATGGGCACATTAAATTTATCCCCTGTCTAATTGCTGCAATATTGGATAAGTAAAGCATCTTTTTTGGGAGGGGAGTGCATATATATATGTGTGTGTGTGTGTATCATCAGAGAAGAGGAGCAAAGCTAGTTCTTAGATTTTTTTTTTTGTTCTGTTAAAATTATACTTAATGGAATGTTGGCAGTAGCTTCAGCAGGCTTTCTACATAGATTTCAGAAGTGTTTATCCACTGCTGTTTGGTTTTCATGAGTTTTTCTAGCAAAATCTTTTTTTTTAATTAAGCATTTCATTCAGGGGGGGGCTCTCTTTCAAGCCCCCCCCCTTTTAGGGCTGGGAATAGAACCTGGAAGCCACAGCCGAAGCATTAAGTAATGTCTCCATCTACACTGAAGCGATTAGCCAGCGGCTTACCCTGTTGAGGTACGTGTAATTTTAGTCAATTTAATCACTTTTCAGATCTTTTCGTTAGATTTTTTTTAAAGGTAGCAAGCTATCCAGTGGCTGGAAATAATGTATATATTACTGAAAAAAAGTATCAGTGTCATTAAAAATATGCACGATTGGCTTAGAGATGAATTCTTCTTTTTTCTATGGTGGATTGTTTTGGTTTATCCAGTCTGCGAAAGGCATTTCAAGTCTTACTAGGCAAGTGTTAACCCTGGAATCTACCAAGCAGTTTGCTGACACTTGAGGGGGCAGACTCTTGGGTTTTGCAAGGTACAGACATAATGCACTTTGCTGTGTCAGGTCGCACATTCTAGTCACATTGCCATGGGGGCCTGGTGGCAAGGGCCTTCCCTTATTCTGGGCCACCAGCACCTGCTGTTCAGAAGTAGCCTGACTCAGAGCATGGCAGCTCACTATTAGCCCTTGATAAGACCCTCTTCCCCATGAATGTTGCCTAATCTAAGCTAAGTGGCTATTACCACATCTCCTGGCAGGAAATTCCATAAGTTAAGGATATATTGCTTGAAAAAAGTACATAGGAACTGTTAATACCCTAGGGAGCAAAGGCAGGTTTCATTAACTCTTCTGTTGCATCTTGCTTGCGTAGAAGTCTCTGCAGGTCTGGCAACAGCGCTGGTACCACCTCATGTCCTGGCAGAGGTTTTTCTCCCGAATCACCCGGCAATAAACTGTCCACTGATCTCCTGTGCACTTGTACGTCAGAGCGGCTTTCAGTGCATATTTAAAGAAAGGAAGACAGCATATTGGAAAGGAAAGTTAGAAAAGTTTTATTGGGAAAGGGATAGGATCATTGTCATTAAAGGGGGTAGCTGTGCATTGCATCATATCATTTTTTTTCATTTTTGAATGTCCAAAGCTGCCTAATCGCTCCTAGACCGGCTGGTCTGAAGTTACTCACCATAAAGGGGTGGGGTGGGGTTCTCCAAGGTCCTTTCCCGGCATCAGCTGCTGTTCTGTTACCTAGAAATGCTGGAGACTAAACTTCCTGCATACAAAGCACGTACTTGACTGTGAAGGATGGGCTGTCCTAGAGGAAGGCTCTCCCCACCTGTCTTTCCCATATGTATAATCATCTTAACCAACCTGTAAGGCTGACCAGAATGATTAGCACCTTGGAGAGTTTGTGCTCATGAGACTCATGTAAGAGGGGAGCACTTCTGCTTTCTGAAGACTTGCCTACTGAGATCAGAGTGAAGTTGGAAGCAGGACTTCTCAGCTCTTGCAAGCCCAACGGTGCTACATCTCTCGTGTCAAATGCATCAGCTTAGTGACGACTATAGAACTTGAGGTTCGAAAAGCGTTTTGCTGCTATGTCATCAATCATTTTTCACTTTTCTTTGCCTTGTGCTAGCCTTCAGAGGGGAGGAGGGCGGCGAAGAGAGCAGTAGGTAGAGGACTAGCTGGGCCATTTCTCACAGATTTTACATCTACAAGCACAAGCTCTGTTCTCAGACTTTTCCGTAGGGTGTTGCCTGTTAGTACTTTTCGTTACAGACAATACACTGGGTAGCCTTTGTGGTTTGGAAAATTTCTAAAGCAATAGATTCAAGAGGATGCGTGTCCCTAAATGTCTCTTGTGGTGCAGAGGTGAGCAACGTACAGTGGGGCTGGATATTCTCTGCTGGGGGTGGTTGGGGGGAGAAAGTGAGGCAGTGACCTGTACAAGAGATAAGCAGGGGGGAAGCCCTTGGGCTCCCAGTAAGAGCTGGCTTGTGGGGCCAGTCCCTCGGGACAAACCTGAGTAGAAAGAAATCCTGCCTCCCAATATCTGCAATTTCAATCCTGATCTCCCTCTCCTCCGTGGCTGTTTAGGGAAAGATGACGTGCCTAGACTTGTTCAACAAGGCTGCAAGCCAAACTCAAATGTGAAAATATTTTTTATCTGAAAGCAGTAATGGGGCCTGCCCACCCACTCTAATTTTGATCAGAGCAGTGAAGCTCTCTCTGTCTCTGTGTGTTTAAACCTCTCCTCCATCAGTTTCCTCAGTTCATACTGCCCACCCCGGCCCCCAGCAGGTATTAACAGAGATGTGACCCCCTTCTTTTTCCTCCGTCGTACTGCATCAGATCTGCTGTGACCCACTGAGCACACAGGGAGGCTCCGTGTCTCCTTACTGAGCCCTCAAGATCCATCAGAAGCCATACTTACCCAGTCTTGGAGAGGTAATTGTGTTGACGTTTATTTTCTCGTTGCAGGCCTCCTGGTGGCATTGTCGGTAGGCTGCAGGCTTGGAGAGGACGGGGCACTCGTTCCCATGGCGTCCGGTGACCTTGTGCATGCACTGCACCACGCGGGACTGAAGCCCTTTGCCACATGTTGAGGAGCACTACGGAAGAGGAGATACTTTGGTGAATCACAAGGGAGAAGCTCAGGCTGTGAGAGAACAGAAGACGTTATGTACCAACGATGCTGTGTCAATATGAGCTCTTACAAGCAGCCATTCCGTTATACTTTCCTGTGTCCTGTCCTTGATAGGATGCTTATATTAAGCTTTTTGTAGCATAATTTGGCGAGACGCTCCAAAAAAAGAGAGAACAAAATATTTAAAAGGATTCCCACCCACCCCTAATCATATAATATCCGTATCAGCTCATTCCACCTTCTTTGTTTCAATGTGGAAGAGAAATATAAGGTCTCCTGTTACTCTACTGATGCCTACATTAATAATCTGGAATCCAGTATATTGCCCCTTTAAAAAGCTGTTGGTAGGTCATGTGGTTTTGAAGTCGGAACTGGTTGTTAAACATGTTCTCCAGCTTCTGTGCTTTACTCTTCATCCTTGAGAGGGCGTATACAAAAACCTGTAATAAGATATTCCCTGCCTTAGGCTAACTTTCTAGAATTCAGAATGACACAAAAGGAAGTGAGTGACATGGGAGGAGAAAACATGATAGCCATGGCCCCAGTTCTAAACTAGCATCACCATCTCCACTATCACCTTCTCCCTCAATCTCCCTATTCCTCTTCTCTGTAACTTGCAAAAACAGACGTATGCACATTTGTTGACTTGCAAGCTGTTCTTACAGGTTTACTGAATTCAGAAATTCTAGATACACAATTTGGATTTTTAAAAAAGATGCTGGAGGATTACAGACTGTAGCATGTTGTTTGATGGGTGCAAGTATGTTTCCAGTCCTGTTGGATGTTTAGCACTGCCCAAGTTATAGATTTCTCACATAAGTGCAATCAGAGGAGTACAGAGTAGTTGCTGAAGTCGACAAGGTTTCTGAGATTACTGATAAAAGCAAAATAGAAATACAAAGTAAAAAAAAAATATATATGTGGTGGCACCTGATGCCAGCTTTTACAAACAAGTCCACTTCATCAGTCCACAAGAGACTTTCTGAGAGTTTAGCATGATCCCGGCTTTAGCACGTGCCACAAAACAAGGGCCAGAAGACCTCTGTGGGGAGGATTGAGATCCATAGTTCTCTCTCTCTCTTTTTAAAAAGGAAATTCTTGTCAGAATGATGCACAAAAAGTGGCCAGCCCTTTACAAATTAAAGTTGCTGTCATACTGGCTGTATTCCAGCTGCTGCTGCTGCTACTTGCTCCAGATGTGAACTGCAGTTGTATGCACTCTGGCCCTAAATCCAGCAGGTAGAATAAACCTGTTGAATAGGTAGGATTTCCATAAGCACTGAGATTATTTTTAGCAGATAATTTCCTAGGTCTACTTTAACTGGGAGTAGCAATTACATTGAGGAAAAATTAAGAGTTAATAATAAGACCCTGTTACCTTTTGCTTGACACACACATTCATGATTTTATATCCTGTTTTGTATATGCATCTTATTGTTGCCATTTTTTAAATTGCCAGGTCTTTCTCCATACTCATACCTATTTCTGTGGGGTCCCTTCAGCACAAGTGGAAGGGCTCGGTGTTCAGTAATTGCTCAGGCATTCTCATAGTAATTTCCAACTTCAGATGGGGCTCACAAACTTTCATACACATTCACATGTGCAAAAATTATTTCCCCGTGTGCAGCCAAACACAGTCTCACAAATATGAACTCTTCTGTCTCTTGGCTGGTATGTCTTCTTTTTTCCCCCCTTTTCAGAAGAACTTTGCCACATTTATGGATATGCACAAATTAAAACGGATGTTTGTCTGCTTGGATAACAAGATGTATTTACATTGGGCCTTTTAATTATAAATGCTTACCTTGCTTAGCTGGTCCCTGTACATTTGTATCTTTGCATCTGCTAACGCATAAAGAAGGCAAAGAATCCAGTTTTTTCTTTCCATAGCTTCTGCCAGCTCTGCATCTTAGAACACAAAGAACCACCGAGGGCTTGTTCCCCCTTTCCTTGCCTTGAGCTTAGTTTGATTGCTTCTCCTGGGAAACCAAGATCATCACCTAGGCTATGCAATTAGTCTTTTCAATGCCAGGAAGACAGACTTTAACATCTATCTTGAACTGCCTGTGTTTGGCAGCTAGAGGGACATCTGGCTTATTTTAGGAAGAAAAAAAAATCGGCTTTCCAGGAAATAGAAGTACATATAGAAAAGTGTACGAATGAGAGATGGTTGCCACCTATGCACTATACTTTGAAACAAGGGTGCCAGGAGAATCAGGAAAAATTAAACGTGGATAAAGCTGTACGTATGTTCCATCTTAAATGTTCTTACCCTTCAGATTCACTCAGCGAGAAGCACATCTTGCTGATTCCAGTGGTAGATAAATTCAAAGTCCAGGCGTACAACTCCTTGTTAAAATTAAAATTTAACTGCTTGTTAAAATTGAGCTTTACCCCTTGAGCCTGCAGCTGTGGAGTGGAGGGTGGGCGGGGGATTTAAAACTTCCCTGCACATAGTTTCACATGTAAGCTTTTTATATGGCACATCCTCCCATCTTCCTTTTCCCGGAATCATTCCATCCCCTGGTTTTGCTGCACAACTTGCTTTTTTCTTCTGTAATTGCAGCAAGAGCATATTTTGTCTTGTTAAAAAAAAGTTTCATGTGGAGTTTTTGTTTAAATCCAGTGAAGAAGAAAAAAAAACTAAGTTTATAAAGGCCCGGATTCAACATGCGGAAAAGAAATAAATTACAAGGGGCAGCATTATTTTGACTGAACAAATATTGCAGAATCCACACTAAGGGGCACCTGGCAAGCTTTTCCAGCTCCCACCAAGCAGCAGTTTTAGTCCAAATGATACTGAGAACAATATGTGGATGCTGTTTCAGATTACTCCATGTGCTTCTCCATATGAAAATGTTGCAATACATTTTAATTAAGCACAGAGATATCAGTTGACAAATACATACATTTATGAGGTTCCTGGACCTAAAGGGATGCCAGAACAGAAACAGGGAAGAGGAGGAGGGACTCGAATTCTATGCATACACGTGATGCAAATTGTGAAAATATATGAATGATATATGAAGAATAAATGGCAAACCACTTTCAGGGACTCGAATTCTATGCATACACGTGATGCAAATTGTGAAAATATATGAATGATATATGAAGAATAAATGGCAAACCACTTTCAGCCCAAAAGAAAATGATTTTTTTTTGGGGGGGGAGATGGGTAGGAAAGCAGTGAAGTAAATGGTTATAATTTAGTTTGCAAAGAAGCCATTATTAATGTGTCTTCTACACGTTTACAAAAACCCCACAAAACGTGGTTGCAAAAGGCCAATCTTTTCTAACCAGCCCTGCAGAATGGCTTTTCCCCTCCGGTCATAGGAGGATCCTTTGGGGACATATTTAATTAAAGTACAGCTGTTCAAACAGGTGGTGCTCCTGGATCCATCTCTATTTCTGGCATTATAGTTACAGTCATTCTCAGACAGAGACCGTTGGCTACAGTGCCCCAGGGCCTGAGAGCCTCGCGACAGGTCTCTTGCAGTGGACGCCGTGTTGGGGCGGCCCTTAAGGCTGATCTGGAAGCTGCAGCTGGTGCAGGAATACTTTGGTAGGCTTACGAGTGGGACAATATACAATCAGCACCTGACACTCGCTGCCTGTTTGCCAGCCGAGCAGGGTTTAAAGTTTTAATATGAGTTCATAAAGACCTAAGCAACCTCATGCTTGGTTTATGCAGCCTCCTCCCAGACAAGGCCAGGCAGTCCTTTGTGTATGGCATATCTTGCGATGTTACTATTGGTTTTTTATGCCACTTTGAAATGTTCGAGTTTAAGCCATGTAGAAAAGCCCATAAATAAAATAACCATTGAGATTGCTATCTCAAGTTGAAAATCCTTAAGAATCTATTCAGCTTTAAAGTATGATACGTTGACTTAACTTCAGTATTGAAATGAGCAGAAATTTGGACACCAAGTGCCTAGGGACACTGCTGGGCACTTAAAAGATTTGGGGCCCAAGGCCCTTTGGTGCAGTCCTGGTTATGACCCAGTCATATTTAAGCACATCTGGAAGGTCACTAGCCTTTAAAGAACACAGAAAAGCTGAAATGGACCAGCAGTGGAAATAAGGGGGACTATTTATGTTTTGATATACAAAGTTGGCTATTGAAGACAGTTGTAATAACCCGAAAACCCTAGTCATGCGTCCAAAGAAAACAACACTGTCCTATAGTGAGGGTACAGAATTTCTGCATAAGCCACACATTAGCATATGTGTGAGGAAGGGCTGATGGCCCCACACTCCCTTAAGGTGCTCTGGCAAATGTATCTCCTTTCTTCCTTGGGGCAAACATAAATCTTGAAAAGAACTTAAGGGAGGAATGTGAATGGGAGGTTTGCGCCAGGTGTTTCTGCAGGTGACAGACGTACGTGCAACATCTGTACATGAGGCAGTATGAAAAGAGACTGTGTGTCTTGGAGGATTCCCTCCACATGACCTCTCTGGCTTGGGCTGAAGATGAATCGCTGGTTGTAAGCATCTGCCTGCCTGCATTGATGACTGAAACAATTCCTTTTTTTTGCAAAAGTTTCAACAGTGTTTCTCCAAAACAACACAACCTGTCTTCAAAGGGGAATGGAAAATCACCTGTGTCCTGTTGACTGGAAAATGTGTATTTTTTGGGGGGGGGACCCAAAATTTACACTCCTTATCTTGAATTCTTTACACTCCTCATCTTGAATTCCCTGCAGGCTGGGTCACCCTGTACATCTTGGCTTTTCTTTCTTTCTTTCTTTCTTTCTTTCTTTCTTTCTTTCTTTCTTTCTTTCCCTTTTGCCGATTTTGGAGAGTATAGTTTATGCTGAACTTGCCAAAACAACTCAGTTGCACTTAGAAGACTCCCACCACTACGGCAATGATGAATGACACCTGATCCAGCATACTAGACATCTTGAGGGACAGCACAAAAGCCCGGGGTTATTCTAGAAGGAAACAAGACTCCCCCCAGGTTTCACACGTCCTGCTGGGATGTCTCCCTGCTGCCAGGAATTGCAAGGCAACGACAAAGAAGCAGAAGCAACCGGCAGCACTTCCCGTCAGGGGAGGGCAGGTGGCTGGAGGCAATTTGTCAAATGCACTTTAGCACAAACGACATGGCTTGGCAGCCGCAGGGCTGCTCGGGCTCCCTCGCCTTCCGCCAAGTTCTTGCCGACGCTTCCAAACATGTTCAAGTCAGAGATGGGTCCCCCGTGTGCTCAGCCAAAAGCCACTGCCCATCAGGTGCATGACATGGAAAGTAAGAAACATTTCCCAGCTAGGATGAGAGGATGGGGGTTAGGAACAAAACGTGGGTACCCTGCCAGATTCCCATGCCTGCCACCCAGGGAGGGAGAAGATGAAAGATGGTGCTTTCTTACCGGAAACATGCAGGTATTTTATCTTTTCCTTCAGCAAGTACATAATACATCCTGTAAATGTATGCCTTGATGCTGATTCTGTTGACCAGTTTCTGTTCCCCTCTCCAGTTTGCTAGCAATATTTTCTTCCTAAGAGCAGCACACAGCACCGCTAGCATTGCAAAACAACAACTCTGTGTCTTGCTAACATGAAAATCCCTGCTTCAAATTCTACATATCCCATGAACTCGCCAGACTCCCTATCTTTCAGGTTTGGCCACCATCTGTAGCTTGAGAATGGCAACTATACCATTTTAGAATGTGGCTATTTGTTCAGCATTTATATTACCATTTACAAAGTGCTTTACTCTTAATCATTTGCATTACTTAGATGGCCATCCTAGATTTCTTTAATACATGTCAATGTGCTTTTCCATTAGGCATGGCACCAGGACTGTATCCAGAACTTTAGATGCTGATCTTTTTCTACAGACACAGCTGACCACCTAGTTTTCTACATTTCTTTTATCAGAGTAGGGAAAGGAGATTCATTCACTCTGAATTTTCATTCCTGTCTCCTTCGCCAGCAAGCAAAAATGTACTTGTATACTGAAAACACTCCTGCGTTTCAAAATCTGCATTTTAGCAAATGTTTTGCTACTGTTTTTCAGTCAAAAACATGCATAGAGAATTTTGTTAGGAAAATATGGATACAAAAATATTTTTGTTACTGGGGGAAAAAAGCACTGCAGTAGGGGGCCACTGCCTGCAAAAACATGCCCTGGAAATATGCATTCACTGAGGTGTGCGACAGAAAATATTCATGAATACGCATACAGATTTTCATGTGGACTTAAAATGTCACACCTAGTTCTCATACGGAATCCGGTTAAAACAATGTTAGAAAAATAAGAAACTAACCAGAACTGGAATAGAATGGAATCTGGATAGAACTTAGATTTTCCTATCCCTCCATTTGACATAAGTGTTGAAGTTCATGGGAATTAACCGACGTGGTAATAGATAACACACCTACACTTAAATTTCCCAGAACACCCTGAAGAGCAAGAACGGCGGCTGTGCCTATTTAATTCTGCTGGGGTCTAACCCAGTTCCCTGCATTCTCTGCCAGAACCCATGGCAATGAAAAAGCTTTTGAAGAAAGGTGTTTGTAGCACAGATTTGGTCACAGTAGACAGATCTTCCCACTGCAATCCCTAACCAAGTGCTTTAAGTTGTGATGTATTTTCTAAATCCTTCACTGGCCTTATGCAAGGGAAGCCAGGAACATTTTTCTTTTTGCTCTTGGCCGGAAGCCCTTTTTTCTAGGAGCTCCGCCTCGGCAAGAGGACTGCAGCCCTTTCTTTCTGAATCCTCTCCAAGCAATAATTGTCCTTGCCTCTGGAGGGGGAGGCCAGAAAGGCTATGAGAACACATCTTATGAGGAATCTGCCAAAAGCAAAAAAACAAAAAAACAAAACTATAACACAAGATGGCTATCGGACAGCCTGGAAGTCAATGAATTACTGTCAGAGGAACCCGTTCATCCAGCTGCACCAGCATTAATAATCACACTTCTAAACTGTCACTTGTGCTTGTTTTCTGAATTCTGCTTTGTGATGATTTGAATGGATAAAGCTGTAGAATATTGCCATTATTTAATACACTCCACTCTCTATGGTCAATTCATACTCTTTATGGGAGGATGTTTTTCCCCCGGCAAGTCTTAAAAAATGTTATTTCACCTGTTAATACACAGAGACTGTTTATCCTGGCTGGCCCTCGTGGTTCTATGTTCCAGTTTATGAATAATATAATATTCAATACTCCAAACAGTCGGTGATAGAAATTCTTGGTGTGACCTAAACATAGGCTTTAACCGAGAGCAACAGAAGGCATGAGAAAAGAAGGCATTCCTCTTCGACTCAAGACTGTACAGCATCACTTACATGTGCCACCTGACAGCAGAATAGTTTTCTTGTCCACTGACTAAAATCAGAGCTTTGAACCAGATTCCAGCCCCACCTCAACCCCAGTTTTCCATCCATAGCAGCGCGATTCAACTCTAGTAACTGGAAAGCCAAGTCAAACGATTCCAACCTTCTGGCTTTTATGCCATTCTCTATTTTTATTTTTTGAGAAAGCAGTTTCTCTGTTAAAAGACCGTTTAACTTGCAAAGATGATATATAATGTGATATGATCATGATGTTTATGTTTCTCATGTCAATTTGGGGGCTAACAATGGGAAAGGGCTTCATAAAGTCTAAGATAGAATCAAGAGATTTTTTAATACATGCCACTAAATTAAATTGATGCTTTTGAATTGTGGTGCTGGAGGAGGCTCTTGAGAGTCCCCTAGACTGCAAGGAGAACAAACCTATCCATTTTGAAGGAAATCAACCCTGAGTGTTCCCTGGAAGGACAGATCCTGAAGCTGAGTCTCCAATACGTTGGTCATCTCATGAGAAGAGAAGACTCCCTGGAAAAGACCCTGACGTTGGGAAAGAGTGAAGGCGAGAGGAGAAGGGGACGACAGAGGACGAGATGGTGGGACAGTGTCATCGAAGCGACCGACATGACTTTGACCCAACTCTGGGAGGCAGTGAACGACAGGAGGGCCTGGTGTGCTCTGGTCCATGGAGTGACGAATAGTCGGACACGACTAAATGACTAAACAACAACTAAATTAAACTGGTTTTCCTCTTCTCGAGGAATTCTGAGGAATGTCATACTATATAACGAGGGGATATCATGTTTACAGGATTGACAGCAGAATCTTACCTTGGACCAGTCTCCTGTTTTCCACTCGTAACAGCCCGTATGATCCTCACATTCCTCCTCATCCCGTGGCCTTGTGGCTGCGTCGCACTTCCTTTGGGAGTTGGTGCACGTTACCATTCTCTTTTGCTTCCCCCGTCCACAGTTGGACGAACACTGTAAAGGTGCAATAACTGGTTGACGCCTACAGCTAGGATGGCAATGGCCAAAGGTCTATAGCTGCCAACAAGGTTTGACCTTTTTGAAACCATTTCAGACCTAAAGAGTTCTGTTTTTCCAAATGTTTCTCACAAGAGTCTTCATAAACTTCTGGCTAGAAAACAGTATAACATATTCAGATGTGATATATAAAAACTGGGTTCTGTGTAAAGCTTAATAGGTAAGAAATACAAGGCCATTGTTACCAACACATTTCTAGGGCGGAGGTCTGTTTGCAGCACTGCATCCCTAATGCAAGGACTGAATCTTCACTTCAAAGGTAAAGCAGGACCCACCACCACGCCATCCTACAACTGTGGCACATGCCTGCTTTCTTGGGGCTTCAGGCTAAACACACAAGTTTTGGGTGGATGAATAAAATATTCTGTGCCCCCAAATAACTACTTTGATCATCAAGAATGTTAATTCCAATTCTGAACTTGTGCGTTGTAGTAGTTTTATTGATCTGCCTTTGCTTCTTGGAAGAATTTATAGCAACAACAAAACAACCTGACACCAACCAGTGGTTGTATAGAAACATGTGATGGGAGCCACTAAATGACATATCCCGGAGGTGGCCAAAATGCTGTCCCTCGGTTCTTGAACTACAGCTCCCATCACTTCTACCCTGAAGAGGCAATGACAACGAAAGCTTGGAGTTGCGAGTCAATAATATCTGGGGGACCACACTTTGATTGGCTACATTGGGGTGGGCAGACTGAGGCATATGGTGATAGAGAGTGAAGCGTTTTAGACCGAGGGAAGCATTTCTCAGCCTGAACACATGAGAAATTCTAACTCATCAGGAATGTCATGACGGATGGCAGACAAATTTCTTCTTGAATAAGTGAGCACATTTTAGTAGCCTCTGGAAAACTGCAAATGGCACCTTTTGACACTGAAGAGAATGTTCACACAATTCCTCCCCTTGCTCTGTCCTGGCTCAGCCTCTTTAAAAAAAACCTTGCTCTGGAAGACCATCTTTAACCCTCTCAAGGGATCAGCGCAGAACAGAATGTGGTCTTGACACTGAATAAACAGTTGTAGAGATGAGATACTCTGTCACATCTTTTGAATGCACTCCAAGAAGCTGCTCCATGAAGGAGGTCCAGAATGGAAACAAGCCCAAGCTTGATGCATGCTACACAGAAGGGGCAGATCTCGGCATGCCTGTCTAACCATCTTTAAAAAAAAAAAATTAACAAAAAGCAAGCAATCATGACCTCCTGGCCCTGTTAAGGACAGACATGACAAGTGTTTATGAGCTGGCAAGCAAACAGACATGCTTTGAAATACTCTACAGCAATTGTGAAATGTCTTCTTAGACTTGGGAAGGAAAACAAAAATCTGGGAAGACTTCAACTCAATTTACTGTTACTCACTGTACGGCCCTGTTATGGAAAGTAACATTTTTCAAGTGCAAAATCAAGAATGGAATTCTGCTGGCTACCAGTATGGATTTCTTTACAGTATGTTATAGAGATGCTGAAACTCAACAGCTGTTTTTCAAAACCAGTGGCCAACAGCATCCACCTTCAAAACAAAGGAGGATGAATAATGTGATGCCGTGGAGCAAGACAGGAAAAATAAAAAGTTAGACTGGAAAGAATCCCTTGCGCTTGCTCCCATGAACCAAGAGACTAAGGCCAGACAGAAATCATTCAAGGTATTGCTGGGCTCCACACTTCATGTTTTTGGGAAGCAGCCCATGGCCAAAGGCTCATGCCTCAGAATGCTTCGCAAACCAGTCGACAAATGTTGTGTGTGGTTGGAAGAAAAACAAATTCAGTCATGGAACTGTTCAAACCATCAAAACCATTAAAATCTGCAAGCTATTAAAAGCATCACAATAAACTAAACATCCCATCTTTCCAATTTAAAAAGTTGTTTCTTTGTGCCTCTCCTAAAAGCAGTCGGGGTGGAAACGGATCCCAATTCTGAGAGGAGTGCATTCCACAATCTGGAATGTGGTGTAGCGCTAGACGCAACATGTTGGGGACCTGGGTGGGGGGACGCAACCCTCCAGGGCTCCTGAAATCTGGAAAAGTAGAGATATGGAAGATCCTGGAACTGCAGTTCTGTTTCAGTAATGGGTCCAATGCTTGTCCTAAGAAGCAGGCAATTGCCCAAACTGCAGAGGTGACCCTAACCTCTTCAAAAAGGTAGCCAAGGATCTTGGATGGCGAAGCTGTGCGTGAGCTGAGTTGACCTCAGTCCCTGGGGACAGTTGGCAGTACAGAAAACCTAGTCAGCTTTTGGAAGACCAACACAAAAGGTTCAAATACGTAGTCACTATTTGTCCAGAGTGCACCAGATCAGCTGACATATTTATTATAATTTACTAGAATTTGGATAATTATAATGACATTTCCCTCAATACAGTGGTGCCCCGCATAGCGACGATAATCCGTGCAGCCAAAATCGTTGCTATACGGATTTGTCGCTATGCGAAATAAAAAAAGCCCATAGGAATGCATTGAAACCCCTTCATTGCGTTCCTATGGGCTTAAAACTTACCTTTTAAGCGAAAATCCTCCATACGGCGGCCATTTTAGCTGCCCGGTAAGTGAGGAATCCATCCCTGTTTTACCCGGCGGCCATTTTGGAACCACCGATCAGCTGGGGAAAAATCATCGCTATGCAAAAATCAGTAAGCGAAACAGCTTACCGATCATCGCAAAGCGATTTTCCCCCATAGGAAACATTGTTATGCAATCGCAAAAGCAATCGCAAAACATCGTCGCTATGCGGATTTGTCGTTAAATGGGGCACCCATTATGCGAGGTACCACTGTATCTGCCTTATGATGATTCATCCTTTCTTCATCTAGTCTCATATTGTTTATGCTGTTCTCAAAAGATTGAGCAGCATTACTGGTATGCCACTAGGTCTGAAAGAGATGATGGGATGTATTATGCCTTAGATCCCATGGTACAGATGCCTATGGCAGAACAGGCACGTGAACTGGCTCTAGAGGTGGCGATGGATTTATGGACCCCACTTGGTTGTGGGACTGGATTTGGGGAACTCATTCCTAAAAGTCTACTTTGGGAACACAAAAGCACTTTGAAAGCACAGCCACTCGTTTTAATACTGCGTCTTCATTTTTATAAGGACACTTCAGAGAAGCAAGGGAGATTCTGCCCATTGGGAGACTTTTATAGTGAAATCCCTGACATTATACCCTCAACCCCACCAAGAGTACCTTACCTTAGACCATTCTGATGCTTCCCAGATGGAAAGGCAATCTCGGCCCTCACAGCTCTGGACTGCGGTTGGTTTCGGGCCAAGGCAGTAGAGGTCTCTCGTGTTGACATAGGTGCCATTTTGCAGCTGATAGACGCAGGCCACTTCGCGATGCTGGATGCCTTTGGTACAGGTTGCAGAGCAAGGGCTCCACTGCCCTGCCACCCACCTGCTCCAAGATAACAGAGAAAAGGGATGCATTGAGGGCACCATGCACGGGATCACACACAGCTGCTCATAAATCAGTGGCTTAGTGTTTAAATTGGGGTAGGTTTCTCTTGTTCACACCCCACAGGGCCCAGATCTTTTAACCCCCTTTTGACGATGACACCCTTAACACAGACAATCCTTTAATTTCCAGGATCACCTAACCCATTCCCCCACCAACGGATAGGCAATGGGAAATGAGCACAGAACATAGGCAACTCCACCTGCATGGATTCGATGTTGCTTCAACATCTAGGTTGCAGAAATATTGCTCGGGATTTCTTTCTGGCTTCGCCACAGCTAGACCTTTCATCTTACCTTGGGCAAGGCTGGCTAACTGGTTGCCTTACAAATGGAAAATCTGGAACAATTTAAGAGTTATCTTAAATATTGTTTGGGACCCGGCTTAGCACAGGAACATAGAGAGTTGCCAGTTAGTGAGACGGTTGGTCTTTCTATCCTGGGATTGTTGACATGGTTGTAATGTGAGGATATTGTAATAAAGGTTTAAAAAGAAAGAGATGGATTAGCACTGGCTTTCTGGGTTTCAGACATAATTCTGAACCTAGGATCTTATGCATGTAAAGGATACATGCCACTAGTTAGCCATGGTCCCTCTTCAAATTGATGAAACCTGCTTACGTTTCATTTACCTTACTGATAACTATATAGCTACATACATTTTAAAAAGTACCACTTTTAATTTTTCACTAAGCAAAACCACTTAAGAAACACTTACTAACAAAGATAAGAGTCTGTGGTATGAAACTTTTTAATTTGAAAAAACTGCTCACTGACTGTGGACATCCACTTCAAAAGATTTCCCTTATAGATGTAAAAATAGAAATAGAAACTAATTTTTGCTGTTCTGCTGCTGAAGCCCAGTCTTTCTGCAACACCAGTCCAACCAACCCAAGAGCAGCCAACCATAGGTCGCAAGACGCCTCTGTCTTCAAAAACCCACTGTTGACATCGGGGTGAGTGGATTGACCTTTGCTATCGTGAGAGGCAAAGATCAGGAGAGAGGTTAAAAGGCTAAGCAGAAAATTACAGGTTTGAAGTGTGGATAGCAGGAGCATCAGGAGCGGTTTGGCAATATGACACTTCATTGTGCTCTTTGCTTTGTAAGAAAAGCAAAAGACAAAAATATTATGAAACTATATGTAACACATTGCAGATAAGATCAGCATAATTATAGCTTCCAAAGGCTATCCTGATTAAATTTTCTTTCCAAGGGAATATAGGTGGTCTCGTTATCTCTATACCCTGTACTATCTTTCGTTAATTTGCTCTTATAGTCACGCTAAAGAACTAAAGAACTGTTTTGGTACGACTTATGTGACATCGTACAGGTAAAGAAGAATACAGAAGATGCAGGTAAAGAGAAATGTCTACATGGCATCATTGTACTACCTATGACCTGTCAAGAAGGAAGATCTTTTCCCTAATTGTTTCCAAAGTTAAAGGACTGGAACAAGAATGCTATATGACCATGAAATGTGTGTATATGGAGGAAAAGGAGGAAGCGGCAGCTATGGTAACCATTCAGCCTTTCAGGAAGCCAGAATCCTAACCTTTCATTACAAGCCTGACAACGTGGTTACCTCCCAAAATCAAGCAAATATTTATCTTGCAACCTTTGCTAAGGAACTTTGTAGGGTAGGAACTAAGATAGAGGGAACCAACTGAAGACAAAGAAAGAGAAAGGGAGGCTTGAAAGCAGGCCTTTTTAAAAAATTAATTAAAAAAATATCCTAGTTAAAAATGGAACCAAAATAATGGACAGACCATTAAAGAAGTTGTTGATTGAGAGTTCAGATGCAATGGGAGTAGCCTGATGGAGTCGTGGGCAAGGGGGCTGAGTGAGAAGCTGCATTGTGAATGTACTGTCAGTCCCAGAAGCAGGCATGGCTGCTCTCCAGATCTTGCTGAATGAAGCATTACTAGAGTATTGTCATCTCCCTGTGATATATAGCCCTTGGCAAAGAAAGGAGAGAAAAGGATGGAGAGCAAAGGAGATCAGCAGAGATGAAAGGAGTGAAAAGCTTCCATAGGAGCCACCCTGTTGGTTCGCCTTCAGAATTGACAGTTCAAATGCACTCCCGAGGGGGGAAAAAATGGGTTGTGACCTTCGTTGGAGGGAAAAGAAACAGAAGGCAGCAGAAAGGAGACCGCCTCACACACTTTCACTTCCAGTTCAGTGGTCTGTAAGGGAACAGGAAAGACGGGCATGGGAAGAGCCCGGCATTCTCGACAATGACTGTCGGGAAACTCTGACACGATGCAAGTTCAGGATAACAGCCCTTTCTTTCATTCCGTGGAAAGCTGTGACAAGTACTTGGGGTGTATGTGTGTGTGGGGGAGCTGTCACTTAGATTTAACTTTGCTCGGACCCATTGTACAATGGCACGGTGGATACTAATGGTGCATCTGTTCTACCACTTTTCTTTTTGACACATTTTTAGGTTGTGACTAAAAGGTTTGGGGATTTGACTACTAAATGGTGGAAGAAAGTTTTCACTGTCATGGCAACATGTGGCTATCACAAAAAGAGAGGGGGGGAAAGGGGGGGAAGGAGCAAAATAATAATTTAAGAAATGTAGCCACAATTAAGAAGTCCAGTGTAAATAAAACAATCTACTCTACTCACCCAACGAGGTGTGGATAAATAAAGGGAGTCTTTGCTTAGCCTGAGAGAAAGAGAAAGTCTGTGCCACTATTCTGGAATAAATGAGGTGCTACCCAAGTGCAAAGGCCTTCTTTTCCATTGTTGTAATTTCAGATTGTTAGAGGATATGGAAGCATATCTTGGTGGGTAGGTAAACATTCCTGTTCTGCCTTTCCAGACTCTGTCTCCTCAGAATCCCAAATGGAGTTTGAGTTCCTCCTTCATTCATTCATACATTCATTCATTCATTCATTCATTTATTTATTTAGAGCATTTAGAGCATTTAGAACAAGGAGGAAGGAACTATGAAGCCGCCTGTGGCCATGCAGCTTTTCCCCTAATACATCTACTGTACTTACACAAGATTTTTGAGGGAACAAGAGAAGAACGCTACAGGTGCTGAACTGAACATATGATCTCCAAGATAGCCACGAACCAGGCCAATGTTGTACCAAGAAAGAAATTAGCTCCTCTTATTTTATTACTGCTTGTGTGCTACTAAATTAGAACTGAAACACCATAAACAGTTCTGGGAGTTCTTGGTTACGATGGTGCTGTTTGTCACATCCAGCATTTTGAAAAGCTGCAATGTTTTATTATTAATATGAAGTTATATTATTGATTAGGAATGTGCTGGCGCTGTGGGCTAAACCGCAGACGCTTGTGCTGCCGGGTTAGAAGACCAAGCAGTCATAAGATCGAATCCACGCGACGGAGTGAGCTCCCGTCACTTTGTCCCAGCTCCCGCCAACCTAGTGGTTTGAAAGCATGCAAATGCGAGTAAATAAATAGGGACCACCTCGGTGGGAAGGTAACAGCGTTCTGTGTCTAAGTCGCACTGGCCATGTGACCACGGAAGATTGTCTTCGGACAAAACGCTGGCTCTATGGCTTGGAAACGGGGATGAGCACCGCCCCCTAGAGTCGAACACGACTGGACAAAAATTGTGAAGGGGAACCTTTACCTTTACCTTATATTATTAATTACTTCCCTCATAATCTCAAAAGCACCTATTCACAGAGGAGATGTCCTGTCCTATCTCTGCATGACTTATCCTCTTTCCAATCAGCTTCTAGTCTGTGTAATTGTATCAGATTTTATTACACAGCATGGAAGACTCTAATTCCTCCTAATACAAAGTCAAAATGGAACTTCCTGCATTCAGAGGAAGCTGGCAGGGTTTTTTTTTCCCCTAATACATCTACTGTACTTACACAAGATTTTTGAGGGAACAAGAGAAGAACGCTACAGGTGCTGAACTGAACATATGATCTCCAAGATAGCCACGAACCAGGCCAATGTTGTACCAAGAAAGAAATTAGCTCCTCTTATTTTATTACTGCTTGTGTGCTACTAAATTAGAACTGAAACACCATAAACAGTTCTGGGAGTTCTTGGTTACGATGGTGCTGTTTGTCACATCCAGCATTTTGAAAAGCTGCAATGTTTTATTATTAATATGAAGTTATATTATTAATTAGGAATGTGCTGGCGCTGTGGGCTAAACCGCAGACGCTTGTGCTGCCGGGTTAGAAGACCAAGCAGTCATAAGATCGAATCCACGCGACGGAGTGAGCTCCCGTCACTTTGTCCCAGCTCCCGCCAACCTAGTGGTTTGAAAGCATGCAAATGCGAGTAAATAAATAGGGACCACCTCGGTGGGAAGGTAACAGCATTCCGTGTGTAAGTCGCACTGGCCATGTGACCACGGAAGATTGTCTTCGGAAAAAACGCTGGCTCTATGGCTTGGAAACAGGGATGAGCACCGCCCCCTAGAGTCGAACACGACTGGACAAAAATTGTGAAGGGGAACCTTTACCTTTACCTTATATTATTAATTACTTCCCTCATAATCTCAAAAGCACCTATTCACAGAGGAGATGTCCTGTCCTATCTCTGCATGACTTATCCTCTTTCCAATCAGCTTCTAGTCTGTGTAATTGTATCAGATTTTATTACACAGCATGGAAGACTCTAATTCCTCCTAATACAAAGTCAAAATGGAACTTCCTGCATTCAGAGGAAGCTGGCAGGGTTTTTTTATACCTGTATCTCTAACACACACACACTCACCTCCAATTATGTCCACCCTATGACACAAAAATGAAACCATACATCTCTCTTCAATAACACCGGTTAGGGGCATCAGACCCCCAAGTAGTTCAAAATCTGTGGATAACTCTTATGCTCCCCAAATATAAGGCATACACAACTGATTCACATGCACGCACGCACCCCACACCCCTCTCTTGACCCATGTCAGCTTCCAGAGATGCCCCAGCACCCTCTCCAATCGACACACGGGGCCTCCATGACAGGAGAGGGAGCTGGATGGACCACCATCATCATACTGGGGGCTGCTGCATTGCCAATAACAGGGTCCCTGGTAAGCCCGAGACCCACCTGGTGACAAATAGCAGCACTGTATTTATTGAACATTTATCTATTCAATTCACTTTTACAAATTCCACCTCCATTTTTTTTACTAACGTGTCTCATTTATTTACAAATTTCTTATACTGTATGAATGTATTTATGTATTTTAACCTTTGTGCATTTCTGCCAGTGATTCAAAAATGTTCATCCATTTGTTTTCAATTACACACATTTCAGCCACTGATATTCTAAAGTGTGCACATAGTTTTACATGCACCATCCTTCTCAGAAATGCCTCAAAACCCTTGCAAACGGGCAGACTTTCAAGGTAAGGCGTGTTTCCATTGGCAATGCGTCTTAGGAGGTGTGGAAATGTGATTTTCCTCAGGACGGTCAAATCCAACAAAATTCTTTTTCCATCCCTAAGTATGTTCAAAAGAATACACACAGACAAGAAAAATGCCCAGGTGCCCAGAAGCAGTGCATGTTGTGGACAAAAATATGATCGGGCAAACAAGAAGCTCTTGAGCTATCTACACAAAAAGACAAGCATTTCTATCACATAGCAGTCTAGACTACAAAGCACCAAAAAAACAGCCCTTATTCATTTTTTTTTTTTTTAACAAATCACCTCCATGAGGGCAGAGCTTGTCCTGAAAGACAGGAGGAGTTATAATAAATGCTGTAATAATTCCATCTGGAAGCAAACTCGGGACTTCTTTAAAAATAAATAAATAAACCATAGCCACGGTGAAAGAGAATGGTCCCTTTAAGATGTAGTCGGTCAGACCCATGCCAAGCATGCATTTCTAATATCTGGGTGGGCAGGCACAAATGGAAATTTAAATTCTACAGAGACGCAGAGAATGTGCTTCAGAAAACATTTCCATTTGGCAGGGCACAAAGTATGAATGTGTGGATGACCTGGAGGGAGGGAGGGAGAGAACGGCTAGGCGAGAGGGAGGCAGGGCCTTCCTGGATATGAAGCACTGTGTGGTTGTGTGTTGCCATGGTGCTAGTCATTTTGAACAGATAGGTGGGGTATAAAGAAAATAAAAAATAAATAAATAAAACCGACCAATAGGAGCAGCATCCTTCATTGTCTGACCACGGATAATGGTCCTTTATTGTGACCGTATATTTGCTCAGAAATTCCACACTAAATGCTACAATTCTGGCACAACATTAAGGAAAAGGATTAAATCCATGGAGAGAAAGCATTTTAGACTTCCTGTTCTCAACAGAGCTGGGTTGGGTTGGCAGTGGTTCGACCCTCCTCTCAACCCTAGATGCATTGTTTGCAAACGAGGCACCGCGTTTCAGGGGTCAAAAATTGAAGTGACAAGGCAGCCTCAGAAGGTTTTGAACATTTAAAGATGACCTAGCTATCCACACCAACTAGGAAAAGGAGACTGGAACTATTCCATTGATAGTGGAAAGCTTCCACTATTCCATTGAAGAAGGAACGCTTCAAACGTGCTGTTGAAATTTGGTTTTAGTTTTAGAAAATAGTCCGTTTCTCAATTTTTAATTCCCTCCCCTTTAGGGACATTTTTCCTTTTTTGCAGCTCGTTCCTAATGACACCACCAAATTATCTTTTTTTTTTGCTTGATTTGCATCTCTATTAAAGGTTAATTTGGACATTTATCCAATTACTTCTTTCTAGAAATCTGTTCCAGACCCTTAACAGAACCAGGATGGTTTAAGGGGGGCATACGGGAATCACACACATACATGACACAAATTAAGACCACTGGCTGAAGAAAAAGGCATACAACGTTGATTGAAATATTCGCAACGACCAAGACTTTGACACAGACCAGCTTAAACACAAGCAGCACCCACGTGGTGTATTCCATCTCTGTCAAATAAAATGAACCCTTAGCGCTATTTCCAAACAGCTTCTTGGCTTTGACGAGTCTCCAGAGAGTGGACGTTGCGTTACTGGAAGGCAGCCACAGTAAATGTCTTCTGTATGACGGTCTGGTTCTCCCTGAGGTGACAAACTATTGTCTAGACTGTGCCACTTCAGTCTTACTGCTTACAAAAATAGGCCCTATATGCACAAAGCTAGTCTGTCAAGGGAAGAGTTTAGCACCAGAGAAACATTCTTATTTTTGAGCATCCACCAGCATGCTCACAGTTCGGATAACATTTTATCACCTCAGTAAAGCCTATGTGTCTTAAGTGTCCTGATATGGCACTGGAGAGTGAGTGGTTTGAATTGGGATTGGATCCTGAGAAACAGTCAATTTTGGTCCATTCTGAAATAACCTCAGTGATGAGAGACAGAGTAGCAGTGCCCCTTTTAGGCAACACTCTGGTAACGCTGGAAGCTTTCCCTCCTTTCCAGAAAACATCTACATCCTGCTCTTTATTTAAAGATCTCAGGTTAGCATACAAGCAATGGCTCAAATTAAGCAGCTCCAAATATTTGCTTTTTTATATCATGCTGTTCCTGCAGTGACTCTCTTCTGCAACGTTTTATCTTCACAAGAACCCTATGAGGTAGGCTAGTTTGAGAAAGAATGGCTGGCCCCGAGGTCACTTTGAAAGTTTCATGGCTCAGTTGAGACTAGAATCTGGCTCTTTCAAGTCTGATCCTGCACTCTAAGCGCTGTGGCACATCTCCACTGCCTTTCTGTTCGTTTCCCTGCTCAATTCAAGAAGCAGATTACCACCTATAAAGCCCTAAGTGCTCTTTCCACTTTTTATTATTAAAAACTGTAATGCAAAAGGAGGCCAAGAAAGTCATTACTAGAAACTGAGCATTTTTTTATAAATAAAATAAAAGGTAAAAAATAAAAGTGAGCTTTTCAGGCTCTTTGGCCGTGTTTGGAAGGTTGTTCTTCCTAATGTTTCGCCAGCCTCTGTGGCTGTGTGAACAGCTCTGTTTGTGCTCTGGCTGCTGTCCTCTGAAGATGCCGGCCACAGAGGCTGGCGAAACATTAGGAAGAACAACCTTCAGAACAAGGCCAAAGAGCCCAAAAAAACCCCCATGACAACCATTTTTAAAAACTTATTTAAAACAGAACTATTTAAGGCTGTCTTTTATTCATGTCCTCCTTTTGATGACCCCCGTGTTTAAAATCTGTTCTAAATGATCCTTGGTGAGCTACGTTGCATTTTATTGTTTGTATTAGATTATTTACTTGTGCACTGTTTTTAATTTATTGAATCACTTGTGTTTATGTGTATTCTGTTCACGGGCCAAAGAGTGCACATTGCATGACAGGGTGGTAGATAAGCTAAATAAATCAATATATTGGAACTTGTTTGTAAAAATACAAACAGAAACATTCATGCTACTGGCCGTAAGAAGCTCCTTACCTTGACTGGCAAGGATGCATGTTACACCTTCGAACCTGGGACTCAGGACGGGTTACCCGCTGACAAGCGCTATCATTCACCAACATCATGGTCTTGTTAACTATTTGGGTGCAGGAAACAATGGTTTTACGTTCTCCTGAAAGTGGATGAAAGGGAAGAAGAATCATTCTAGGTTTGAAGATGTCACTTTATTCAAATACGTCGATACGGCTGCATTCAAAGAGAGTCAGATTTCAGAGAGAAAGATGAAAACATGGTCCTTACCACATGCCATCACTCTGGAGATTCTTGCTCTCCGGAAATAGTTACTTACACTAAAAACTGTCAGAACAGAATAATATCTATGAATTCAACAACAAACAAAAATGCTGAAGACTGATTTCATATCCCTTGAGTTCCATTTGACTGCAAACACGTCCTCACTGTTTTCAAAAATTGCTGCTTTTCACAGCAGCATCCTGAGGCTTTAGGGTTCGAAACCTAAGTGCACTGCGAGATGCACTAAGTCGCCCTCCATCACTCAGCAGCTGCAAGGACAGTCGGGTTTTTTTGGAGACCCCCATGACCGTCACAGTAATAGATACTCTTGTCTCCGTGCATTGTTTCTCTCTCTCTTCTGCTGGATTTTCTGACAATTCTTCGGCCTTCAGTTCAGGAATGCTTCAATTCAAGGGGTACAGAATACGTGCTACATGCACCAGGGTCCCAATTCATATTTCTAGGGTCTCCAGTTTTAAAAATGTCAGGAAGCAGGAAGAGAAAAGACCTCTTTACTTGAGGCCTCGGAGAGCTGCTGTCAGTCAAACAGAATTGGTTGCATGGTTGAGGGAGACTCTGCAGAAGGCCCTCTTCTGTGACTGCCATTCCAAAGCAATGTGTGTGAGGAAAATGGCTGCAAATATAAAACATGGCAGCCATTGGTAGCAGAACATCATGTTTTTGTAGATGTCAGCCTCCTCCGACCCCCAACTGTGCCTCAGTTTCCAAGTCACTCTTGGAAGCAAATCTGGCAGGCAGGTTTTGTCTGCTGCCAACAGAAAGATCACTCTTCTATTGCTTCTTTTTTAACAAAGGGGAGGGGGCTAGAGCAGCTGTTCTTGGTGGATCCTGCCAGAGTTTTGGGTCCCTGAAGATCCTGCTTGCTACTTCTGGGCGGTAGTCCCAGCAGCAGGAAATACTTCAATGGATGGACCCATGTCTGAACTGAAGCAAGGCAAATGCCTGTACCTTGCTTTTCTGTGTGTTGCTAAACTCATAGTCAGATATTATTCTACTTTGAGGGGTTTTGCTGTAAGTGTTGTTTCTGGAGGCCAAGAATCCCCAGAGCGAGGGAGGGCATATGAGAGGGGACCACCACGATTAACTAGCACTCTTACTCCACTACCTGAGACAAGCAACTCACCTGGCTTAGCAGAAGGGCCAGAGCTAATATCTAGTAACCCATGCCCATGTTCTTGTATTTTACCCTATATTGCAACTTGCCTCCAAAATGTCATTTAGTAGCATGGATATCAGTTTTCCAGATGGACAGGCAGCGCTTACCTCCTCCGCACTGTACACTACAGCCTTCCCACCCACTGTGGGTCCATATGTACAAGGAGTCCTGCTGGTGTTCTGGCTCACTTCTATTTTCAACAGAGTAGTTCACAGGGATGGTGTATTCATAGTGGATACCATAGTTCTGGTCATGGAATAACAGTACCTGGTTGAAGGAACAGGAGTCCGTTATTGAGAGCAGCAGAGGAAGGATGACACACCAGTGAAAGAGATAGATTAAAATGGCTAAAATGGCAAAGAGCTAATAAAAGTAGTTCTACATCAAGAGTTTTGAGTGAGTCAGGGCTGGGGCTTCAAATATTGATGGGGATTTAAATGGTACGGCAAGTTTGAAGAACGCACACACACCCCCTCTCTCTCTTCTGGGTAAGACAGATGGCCTGAGCTGCTGTTCACATTTTTGAGACAAACGAATGAACAGCAAAACTCCAAAAGTACCTCCGATTGTTTGGGGTTCAAAATTTTTTATGATTTTGACCCAACTCTGGGAGGCAGTGGAAGACAGGAGGGCCTGGCGTGCTCTGGTCCATGGGGTCACGAAGAGTCGGACACGGCTAAACAAAAAAAAATAATGCTTCCGTTGTTTAAAATGGCTAAGAATCAGCCATTTCGAGTGAATGAGGATCAGAACAATTAAAGTCACAAACAACAGATTTTTTGTTAGGCTGCAGATGATGCTGAGCTAGGAGAGTATAAACACAACAATTATCACCTTCTCCCCCCCCCCCAAGTGGTTGTCTATTAGGTTACACACATGACCTTTGAACCTGGAGTTGTCAGTTTACAGTCATGGTCAATCACTGTTAACAGGTTCTTCTTGACCTTTTAAGAATATTTTGAGGAAATAATGTAGGAGCTGACAACTATGGCTCTCTAGATCTTTTTTTTAAAATGCCACTCCTACAGTCTTTTACTATTTTGGCAGGGGGGGATGTACACCAAAAACGTCTGGAGAACCATAAATGCACTCCCTCAGTTCAATGTTTGAAGAATTGTGCATTGTGGATATCCTGTAGTTCTCTAGTTCTAGGCCACTCTAAGTACCAATCTAAGAACTTTCCCATGAATTAATAAGAATACACATATATTCAACTCCTCCCCCCTAACCCTCAGTTTCTTGTTCGAACAGTTTGTTGCTGGTCATTAAAGTAGGGCTTCAGAAAACATGAAGTGAACTAAGTTGACTGTTAAAGCAGCTTGTTAAAATTAATGGCTCTGCTGAACTAAGATGCCATGGATTAGATATGTTCAAATCCCAAGTGTGCCGGAAGGTGTGCTAGAACTGGGTGCCGGCTGGAAGAAAGATGAGTTGGAAAGCCAAGGGAAGAGGTAGGCAGAAGGTGACACAGTATCTAGTTGCAGTGAAATGTTATGTGAGATTATTGAAATAGCCAGAGGGAGCAAGAAGCCCACTGAACACACCAAACCCTAAGTAAATATGGCAATGTGTTGTCTGATGTGTGGTAGGGAATGGTGCCAGGTAGAACCAGTCTGGCCCTCTGAGAGCTTGAGGCACCTGCAGCTGCTTTAGACCTCATGGAACCACACTGGAGAGGTAAAATCGAAAGCTGGCTTTTACAGCTGCTGCAGGGGAAAAAAGCCTGTACATAGTCTCCCACATACATCCAGTAGGTGAGGCTGGAAACATTGAAGAAAATGTTCTTGTTTCTAAGTCTACCTGTAGGATGAGAATTCCATTTTGGATCTTTTTATTCATCTGTTTATTTAAAATGTTTATATACCACCCAACCAGACAAGCAAATACGTATGGCTTTAAAAACGATAAAAAGGAGGGGGAAATGAATAAAATCATAAATCTTTTATTTATTTATTTATTATGGCTTTAAAAACGATAAAAAGGAGGGGAAAATTAATAAAATCATAAATCTTTTAACCAAAAAAACACATTAAATCAGATGAAATCCAGCAAGCTGGGTACTCATTTTACCGACCTCGGAAGGATGGAAGGCTGAGTCAACCTTGAACCCCAGGTCGTGAGCACAGTTTTAGCTGCAGTACAGCGTTTTAACCACTGCGCCACGAAAACATTAAATCAGATGAAACAAAATCAAGATATAACTGTGTTCAAACAGTAAAACTTTTTTTAAAAATCACCAATCAAACTGAAATAGTAAAATCAAAAATGAATATCAAACACTGAATGTCTGATGGAAAAGGAAGGTCTTAGCCTGGCATCATTGAGGCTCGAATCATACATTAAGGGAATGGTAATTCCCGATATTGCCACATTAATCAAGATATAACTGTGTTCAAACAGTAAAACGTGTTTTTTTTTTAAAAAAATCATTAATCAAACTGAAATAGTAAAATCAAAAATGAATATCAAACACTGAATGTCTGATGGAAAAGGAAGGTCTTAGCCTGGCATCATTGAGGGTCGAATCATACATTAAGGGAAATGGTAATTCCCGATATTGGAAATGGTAATTCCCAATATTGCCACATATTAACTTTAGACTAGCAACTCCTTCAAAGCACACTCAGGCTTGGAAACGAAGCCTGCAGATCATAAAACAAAAGCATATTAATTTTGGAATGTGGAAGGTTCATGCTTTAGCAGAGCCCTGGTTGCTACTTAGGAGGAAGCAGAGCAAATTAGTTTTTTTTCCCCCTTGGGAGCGCATTATGTGAGGAGGCTCTTGTATTACCTGGCCATTGTGGACAGGGGCACCCCCGAAAAGATAATCTCAAAATGACCTTCACCATCTGGGAGGAAGCAGATGTGAACAGGTGCTTTTTCAGGTAGAGTGGCCCTGTGTCATTTAGGGCTTGGTAAATCTGAACCAACGCTTTGAATGTGTTGAAGAAACTGGCTCCTACTCAGTGCCAATGATACAGCATGGGAATGATGCGTTTGAACAAACGGTCCCAGCCAGCAGCCTCTTTTTGCACTAATTATTCTGGACCATCTCTACAGGTAGTCTCACGTGACAACACATGACAATAATCCAGACGAGTGGTTACCTGCGCAAAAGGTAACCACCTCGACTTAGATCTAGTATCCTGTTTCCAGCAGCAGCCACCCCACGTTCCTCTGAAAGTGGAGAAGCAGGGTTGCCTCAAGGGTGGAGTTATTGAGGATCCTGAAATTTTGCAGTGAGGAAAAAAGAACTTTCCTAACTTCAGTTAATAACTTCGGATAATATGCTGAGCTGGCTCAAAGGATGAGGAAGGGCAATTTCAAAACCTTTTCGCCCAGTGTGAAAAGCCCTACCAATGGCCTGGAGCAGCTCCCTTGAGAAGGAGTAACAAATTTGAAATTTAAAATTGCCTTTGTGAATGTGCAATGCACAATGGTAGGTACACTTGCTTTTGCTATAAAGCCTTGAGTCATCCATTAAGACAGGCTAGTATTTTAAAAAGATAGAAACATCTGAAATGTGGATTCATGCACAGATGCTAAGAACTGGGATCTTCTGGGTGGTCAATAAAGAAGTCATAAAGTGAAACCAGTAAAGATAGGAATTTTAAAACACAAAAATTCCATCTAATCTAATCTATTGAATGCTATCGTTAGGGGAGAAAAAATCTAAAGCTATGATACTTCTGTCCTGCAATGAGAAACGAGAATCATTCAAGATAAAACATTAATCTAATCTAATCTAATCTAATCTATTGAATGCTATCATTAGGGGGAAAAATCTAAAGCTACGATACTTCTGTCCTGCAATGAGAAACGAGCATCATTCAAGACAAAACGTCCAGAAAAATAAAGGAACGAGAAACACTTGTTGGTTGAGGCTGGTCTGGATACAATACAAAACACTTCTGAAAGAGGAAAAGGGAAGCAGAAAAGTGGTGAAGCATTTCACTTCACCAAGACAATGCAAAGCAACAAGCTTGTGGCAACTGCAGTTTGAAAGGCACTGACCCCCTCCGTAACATGTGATTCAACATCCCCTGTTCTCTTGGCAAGAGGAGGAAGAATAATGCTGTGCATTTTGGAGGACTGGAACACCCATTTTAATTTTAGCCAGACATGTTTTCTGTTTTGGTGGAAACACTGGCGAATGACTTTCCCACCAAACGCCGGTCATCCCGGCATTCTGCTGAAGGCTGAACAACACCATCCTTTACTAGGCAATCAGAGCAGGTCAAGAGAGGTGTTTCATTAAAATTTTTAGTGTTTAATTTCCACCACGTTCTATAACAAACTGAAGCAACTTAACTGTTTTAAAAAACATGATAAAGACAAGTGAGCATCGCATATGGTGGTATTAAATCTTCAAAGCATGAAAAATCAGAGAGCGCTACTTTAAAGCACTTTAAAGTGCTAGGCAGCTCTAAAGCTCACTGCGCGACCTTCAGCCTAACCTCCCCTGCACACAGGACCTTGGAAGAAAAAGTGGGATAGCAATAAATACAAAATAGGAGCCCTACAGTTCCAGTGACACCTGACTGAGGTGATGTGATGCTTAACCTCCAGTCAAGCCATAGGTTAAAGGCAGGTTTAGTGTCTGCAGTTGTTGTGTTTTTCCTCCCACAATGGGATTTCTTCACAGAAAAGTGTCTCAGGAAACAGGCTTAGAAATTAAGCCCGTGTTTACCCACCACCGCCCAATCACAAAAGAAAGCATGCTAAAGACAGATAGGTGAGAGTAAATCGTGCACTCTGCTAAACAGACACATTTCACCACCTGAGGGAGCACCTCTTCTAAAAACATGCAAAGCGAGTCACCTGGTTTGATTCCCTGCCAGGTGCTTGAAATTTACTTCTTTGGCGTCCAAGGTTCTCTCATGCACAAAAGGGAAAGGAGGCACATAAAATCATCACAAAGCTCCTGGATTGGCCTAGTTTTGCGTAAACGTCGGGCCCTGGACGTTTGCCTGTTTCTTAGTCAACAGAAGAGGGCCCTCCATTTGCTGCAAGTTGCTAGACCTCTGTTCCAGCAGATGATGTCAGAGATGATGACTGGCAAATGTAAACGCCAAATGCAGATCAGGCTCATGGGTCCAGGCCTGGTACTTATATACTGCTGTCCATTTTGTTTAAGGTTGGGGCTGAAATGAAGGTGCAGACATGGCTGTGCGGATTGAGACTGGCTTAACAGAGATCTGCTCTGGATTGTCTTTCAGATCCGCTGATCTCTCCTGCCTTCACGAAGACACTGGGCCAGATAACCCTTGAGGCCCTTGTAGCCCTTTAACTCTACCAAAACAGACCCTTTTGATTGTTTTCTTTTTCTCTCGCTCTTTTTAATCTGTACGAAAACAAATATTTTTTCCAAGATTGGGGGGGGGGAATAAAACACACATCTGTAGCTACAGAGGGAGCTTTATTAGTCTGAGCTGCAAGCCAAAGCTAAGACAAACCAGACAATCAGCTACAGTTTTAAAGCTTTTTGCCGGATCCAAAGCGCTTGGCCCTCGCCAGCACAAGACACGAAGACCCACCCTGTCCTTCTTTAAGCGAGCGAGATGCTGATGACTTCGCGGTGCTCCTTGAAGGATGCCGACCTATTTGGAAGTCTCTCAGGGGCTGGGATGGTTTTTAGTTTGTCCTTGCCAAGTGGAGGTCTGAAACAGACCTAGCAACACAAACACTCATTCATCCAAGGAACATACTTACAATCATGCATCTGGAGAAATGCCTTTAGCATGTTTTTTTTTTTTTTTAAAGAGGCTAGCTCCTTCTAAAACAGAAAGCGAGCAAGATCCTTATTATCTCAATCTGGAAACAAGGCTGGAGAATCTAACAACTCATATGAAATCAATTTTATGCAATTATGCAGCCATATCCCCCTGCCTCCCTTTCGCGAGTGTTTTCAAACAGATGCGGCAATGCCTGCACTTGGGCACTTTGTGCCTTGCAACTCAACATCTGCCTTGGGTCCTTTTAAGGAGAAAGGCGGGTAAAAATATTTTAAGGGAGCAAGCAAGCAAACAAACAAACATCTGTTCTAGTACCGTTTTTTGGGGAAAAAAATCTCTGTTTCCCCCACCCCTCAAACACACGCCCTGAACAAACTCCATTCCGGGGGATGTTGGCAGTTTCTGAAGTTTCTGAAATGAAGGCACTGTGGTATTCATAGGATATCTGCACAGACCAATGGGAGTGCTGGAGGGGCAGAGTCACGAGATATAAGAGACTCAACAGAAGGAGGGAGAGTTCGATGGGGAGGGAGGGAGTTTGTGTTGAGGAGTGGTGGTTGAGAGTGGATAGAGGAGAATGTTTGTTTAAGAGTAAACTACATTGCTTATTCTATCAACATCTGTAACAATAAACAATTTCTATTTGGTTCTTTTAAAATGACATCTGGCCTGGACATCTATCATTCATAATAGGTCATGTTGATGTAATCATCTGGTGGCAGCTGAGGGGCACGTGGCGTGAGCTTGTGTTTTGGTGAAACAAGCAGGGGCCACGTGGGAATCGTGACAGGCACTATCCAGGATTTGAGTCCAGGTTTCCCTAAGTCTAACTCCAGTATTCTACCCACTACAATACACTGCTTTTCTCGTATTTTTGCGTGGAGGATCTCTCTCCGGCTTTCAAACCAATACATCAATTGGCCTCATAATTAAGGAAAGAAAAGAAAACAGTTGATGCAGAACTCCGCTCCATATTGAAGAAAGGCAAAGAGAGCAAATTACCATCAGATGAAGTGGTATTTTAGTTGGTCCTTTGGCTGAGATTTTCTCCCACAGACCTCTCCGCACATACCGGACAATAGTCCCTGCGATCTGAAATTCACCAGGAAGTTCAATTTTCCAGTCACTATTAATGGATTTCTTAGTGGAATCTTTCAAAGCTGGAAAGAATAAAACAGCATGCAGTGAAACAGGAAGTAACTCCAACATCAGAGACAGAGAATGCCACCCATGGTCTATGTCTGTTAAGGTTGGCAAATGAATGGGATAGGTGTCCTATACATGAGTCTCCTCACCCTCCACCAGTGTAACCCAATATTGTCCTCCTATCAGGGAGTTAAGATGTTATCTGTCTGACTCATTTTTCTAAGCCAAAGCCTGCTACTTTATGTGCTAGCTTACTACATTCGGGGAAGGGTGCTTGTTTGCTTCAACAATGTTAATTCTCCAACTATGTTCTGAATTCTCCTTGTATCACAACAGTCTAGTGCCCCATTTTGCATACCACGTAGCCAGATGCATAATGCTCACTGTCACATGTAAATCACCGATAAGGCTCGTAGTAATGGGGTTCTCTCCTGCCAACCTAGCAGTTCGAAAGCATGTACAAATATGACTAGATAAATAGTTACCACCTTGATGGGAAGGTAAAGGTGTTCCATGTCTAGCTAGTCGCGCTGGCCATGTGACTACGAAAACTGTCTTTGGACAAACGCTGTCTTTATGGCTTGGAAACGGGGATGAGCACTGCACCCTAGAGTCGGACACGACTGGACTAAATGTCAAGGGGAACCTTTACCTTTACCTAATGGGGTTCTGCCTTGGGTCAGATGCTGGTTGTAAAATTATGGCAAAACTGCTGAGAGATTTATTGCACTGAAACCAACATCAAGATTGTCTGAAGCAATCACACAGGAAGTGCTGCTAGTCAGAAATGCCAACTATAATAATAACAAAATAAATAACGAGCAGTTTGCTGTTGTTTCATGATACCCACAAGCTGCTGCCAGAAATTGCCTCACTTTGCTTAAAGATAGGGCAGCTCTGCCTCCTAAAGTGGAAAGGTAGTCCCCAAACCACAAAAGGGATAGAGAGAAATTTCCGTGTCTAGTTACGCTGGCCACGTGACCATGGAAACTGTCTTTACGCTCACTCTATGGCTTGGAGACGGGGATGAGCGCCATGCATTAGAGTTGGACACGACTGCACTAAATGTCAAGGGGAACCTTCTACTCTACTCTACTCGAGAATCTCCAGCCACAAGATACGTACAGCATGATGGTCTTTAGCTAAGAGGACATTAGAGTTAAGACAATAAATAGAACAGAGACCTAACAAAAGGCTGCTAATAATACAAGCTGAATGGTATCACACCAATGTTAAATCAATGACAGGAAGGAACCCAGAGAGAAATGTATTTGGTTGGGCACACTGGCAAAACAAGAGATGTTGGAAAAGACATCCAGTAGGCCTTATCGATAATAGTTTTTTTCTTACATTTCTTCCTACGTATGCCACCAGTTTAACCATACCTCCTGAACAGCTGGCTCTGGAAGAGGGATAACTTCCTGCAGCTAATCGCAGCTATTTGACAAGGCACTGAAGGCCATCTCCATGGTATGCTTGGTCACATGGCCCACTGCACGACTGAGATATGCCCCAGCACCTTGTCAAATAGTCACAATTAGCCACAGCACATTTCACAAACCTTACACAAACATCAATAAGATTCTGGCCCTTATACGTTGTGCAAAATAAGCAGGGGGGCGGAGTTTCTGCAAAATTTGCCTCCCTCTCAAAAAATAAAGTCTTTTGGCAAAATAAGGTTTTGTGAAAATGCACAAAAGCTCTCTCAATCTTTTCCCATTTTCACCTGCAAGAACGCAGCAGGCAAAGGTTTATATTCTCAAAGCCTGTACAATCTGTCTCCACATCTACGTCTCTTTCATAACCAACTCTTCTTAACATTTTTTTCCTCCTCCTGGACAGAAACCAACACCATCAGTCTGTGCTCCATGCTTGCATCAGCTCATGCCTTTCTCTTCACTCAGATTCCTTCCAATTCGCTGCCTGGCTTAAGGATACGACAAATTGTAAAGCATTTCCTGTTCAAGGTGGTTTGCAAAAGGCAACCAAGCCAGGCAGCGTGGGATGATGAACGTAGGTGGAAAGGAACGGCTCCCAAGCAAATGGAACATCCACTCACTTCCAAAATACCCTACCAGTCCCACAGTAGAAACAAGACCTAATTGGCCAAAACTTTGAAAATGTAATTAGCTCCAGCCACCACTTGGAGGTTCGGCACAGCCTTCAGGACTTATTAAAGTTACAGTGTCAGAAATCTGTAGCACTTTGATTTCTTAGTTATCCTACTGGATAATTTGCCTGTGTTTTGCTGCAGGGCTTTGATAATAAAAGCATTTGACTTCCCGCACAGAGGCAATCGAAAACTTTAGAACATACAGAAACCTTTTGACAACAGATCTTGTTCAGCAGTGAACTGCTAGCCTCACAACATGGTGAAGAAATTCTCCTCTATTATTTTTCTTCTCCCATATCCCATTTGTTATGGTTTCTTTGAAAAAAATGTATCAAAACAGATCAATAATCACCTTTTAAAAAAACCATACAAAGGGATTTATGCCTTTGATGTGCATGCAAAACCAGTGTGGGTTGTTCACACTAAGGGAAAGGACTGATAGAATATTTTTAATATAGGAGGACCCTTGAATTCAATCCCAGCAAAACTTACAACACTTGAAAGTCAGTTCTGTAACCTTAAGTGTAGAAACTAGCTGTCTGTAAACATGACTGGGGAGGTCACCTCCTCTTAAACCCCCTCTTATTCATGGAAAAGCTGTCTTCTCTCTTTCCTTAGCATCATTTCCCCCCTAAAAGCAATACATTTCCATTGGCTTGGGGTTCAGTCACACATAGACATAATGGAAATAGACATTAGGGGTTGTAGAGGAGGCCACATACATATAAGAGATGCACATTTTGATTTGCAGCATGGTATCACTGTATTCAGGGGATGTGGTGGCGCTGCAGGCTAAACCGCAAAAGCCTCTGTGCTGCAAGGTCAGAAAACCTGCAGTCGTAAGATCGAATCCACGCGATGGAGTGAACTCCCGTCGCTTGTCCCAGCTCCTGCCAACCTAGCAATTCGAAAGCATGTAAAAATGCGAGTAGATAAATAGGTACCACCTTGGTGGGAGGATCACGGCGTTCTGTGTCTAGTCACGCTGGCCACGTGACCACGAAAACTGTCTATGGACAAATGCTGGCTCTATGGCTTGGAGACGGGGATGAGCACCGCACCCTAGAGGCGGAGACGACTAGACTAAATGTCATGGGGAACCTTTACCCTTATCACTGTATTCAATAAATCAGCCACAAGCCATGCTAACTAGGGAGTTCCGGAATGTGCTGTGTGTGCGAGGAAGGGGTGGTGGTGTTTCCAAACTCTGTTGGTGCTGCTCACAACAGCGACAGAATGAGATGACAAACGAATGGATAGATCTGCGAATGTTCATGTAGCAGTTTAAGGCTGAAGCATGAAGCTAAGAACACAGCTGGGTCAGCACTTAAATGACTAGAAGCAGCACATTTACCTTTTCAGTTACAGAATCAAGAAGCAGCTGTACTCAATACAGAGATGTGATGCTCTTTTTATATGATGTCTGTCTTCACCTCAAGTGACATTTGGCAAACCTCAACTGGCAGTGAGCATCCAAATTAATCCAACCAAAACAACTGAAAGTGTTGGCTTCCGAAGGCACAGAACTGGCTGTGCTACAGAACACTGGCACCCATTGTTCTCCAAAGCTCTGCTATGTCAAAGTCTTTAGAATAGGCGTAATTTTACTCTGAAAAACGTGGGCTGCCATGTAAGCAGAAATGAAAGCAGTAGCAGGCAAGAGATCAGAGAACGGCACATTGTAATCTTGGATACTACTCAGTCTTTGGGAGGAGATCACCCTGCAAAATGTGGGCATTAAGCATAAATGCAAACTGCTTTCCTTCCTTCCCTCTTTAAAAGAAGACAGGTTTCTGTGACCACGGAAGATTGTCTTTGGACAAAACGCTGGCTCTATGGCTTGGAAATGGGGATGAGCACCGCCCCCCAGAGTCGAACATGACTGGACAAAAATGGTCAAGGGGAACCTTTACCTTTAAGCATAAATGAAAACTGCTTTCCTTCCTTCCTTCTTTAAAAGAAGACAAGTTTGTAGCCCCTATGTGCATAAAAATGGACTTGAATCCAGAGTTACCATTTCTGGTCGCAGGAGACTCCCTGCCTCTCCCAACAGAGGAAATGGCAAAAGGAAGAAATATCTAGATTTGCCTGATTTGCAGCAGATAAATTAGTGCATCAGTAGCACCCATTAATCTGAAGTGGTTTGAGTTATATCCCATTTGGTTTACTCTATAATAAATTAAATGTCAGCTTTCAAAAAGTGTTCAGAAGCCTCAGATGGCCCCAAAAGCTGTGTCCACACTGTTGAACAGGACCAGTGATTGGGAGCACACAATTCCTGTGACACAACCGTTTCAGCAGCTACTGCACTGATCCGTTTCCTGACAGTATGCAAAGTGACGGCAAAGCCCTCTTAACTAAGCCCTATACAAGTGAACATCAGTTGGAAAAGACACCAGAATAGTTTGACTGTCTTCATTAAAGGAAGGCACTGCTGGCTAGCACTTACACGGGAGCGCTGAAAGAGGACGGGGGAATATAGTGCTTCTAGTAGCAAATGTGACAATACACAGATTCCAAACATAGTCATAATCATGATCATGACAACGAGAAGGAGAAAAACAGTTATTGCTGTTTTTATATCCAAATACCCCTTTACTCAGGATTCACCCAATATTTTCAGGCCTTTCAAAAAGACCTTAGAATTAGTGTTGCAATAGGAATGGATTTCGACAAACAGTATTACTTTGCCCCCTGAATATTCTATAGCAGTGGTCCCCAACCTTGGGCCTCCAGATGTTCTTGGAATACAACTCCCAAAAGTCTTCACCACCACTTCTGCTGGCCAGGATTTCTGGGAGTTGAAGTCCAAGAACATCTGGAGGCCCAAGGTTGGGGACCACTGTTCTGTAGGACAGAAGATAAAAAAGAGTCCACATTAAGGGTGTAATCGAGAAATTTTTCTTTCTCTGTTTTACCAAGAAAACTGTGGGCGGGCTTATCCTCCATCACACGGATGCGTCGGGCCCCAGCGGGAATAACAGTCGCTTCAATATAGCCTGAGGCAAAAAAAAGAGGAATACATGGGTTGTAGTATCTCAAAGAAGAAGTGAGAAACAGAGAAATTATTTTATTTAATTTAGCATGCAGGTTTTAGATATATTAAAAATCCAATTATCATTTTGAAATGTTATGAGATATGCCTGATTCAATACTGTGAACCTGAAGAGGAAGAAAATCTAATCTATGCCCTTTAAATATGCTTCCCTGATTATGACTGAAACTATGATGAAGTAAAGTGCAGTCTGTATACACACTTAATGTCAATATTTACATGGCCAGAGACAGATAGTTACAAGTGTGTGTGTTTTTTTTATTTTGAATCAACAACCCATGTGAACACAGACATGAAACTTATACTTCCCTGCTCAGAACCATTCACTGGTGACGTTTTGCTTGCAAGTTCTTCTACGTCACCTATCTCTACCCATCATATTGTAAGGACTTGCTGTATACCATGTTAAACCTAGTGTTCATCTAATTTTGTAAAGGCAGGCCTTCAGAACTCACAGGTTTCTGGGCTGAGCACACCTACACAAATAGCAACTCTATTAAAAAATTTGTTGTTTAGTCATTTAGTCGTGTCCGACTCTTTGTGACCCCATGGACCAGAGCACACCAGACCCTTGTGTCCTCCACTGCCTCCCGGAGTTGGGTCAAATTCATGTTGGTCGCTTTGATGACTCTGTCCAGCCATCTCATCCTCTGTTGTCCCCTTCTCCTCTTGCCTTCACACTTTCCTAACATCAGGGTCTTTTCCAGGGAGTCCTCTCTTCTCATGAGATGGCCAAAGGACTGGAGCCATCAGGGACTAATATACAGTGACTAATGTTGATTTAGAAGGCATCATCCTGCAGCAGTGATCTAAGAAATTGCCTTGGCTACACTGATGTATGGCTTCCCTTTACATCGGGCCCAGAGCTACTGCAGCTGGCCACCACCTTAAGCCAGAGCAAACCACAGCAACAGAGTGCCTTCAGGGTCAGCTGACAGGTGATGTCTTGCAATGCCTTCTCACTTCCCGTCCTTAAAGAACTCATCTCAGCTGGATTTTGCCAGAGTGCAAGAAAATGATCTTACCCAATGGCACCTCCTGCAAGGCACACCTTCTATTTTTGTTCCCCTCTTCCTTTCCTAACCTGCTTAATGTCTCCATGTGGCCAGATCTGCTCAGCTGACCATACATCACCACCTCTTTTTCTCTTTCATTTTCTTCTCTCCTCCTCAGGTTACCAAAGGAAACAGCCTTTTTTTTATTCTGGGAGGGAAAACTGAAGACACAGTAGCAGGAGGAATCCTGTGGAGGTAGGTGGGATGAACCTGGCATTTCAATCATGTTGCAATGGCCACAGTTTTGTTTTGTTTTGTTTTTTTTACCTTTTTGATGCAACTACACAAACTGCAATTAACGAAGCAAACAGGTACCTAACATATAGGTTCCTGTTGAGGATTCTGTTGTTCGAGATAGTCCAATTGCATTGTAATCACCACACTCTAAAATGGGGAGAGAAGTGGGGGGAACCCACACCTTTTGATAAAACTCATGCACTGATACAGAAACCTGACTGACAACAAGTAAAAGACACAAACACACAAAGGACAAGTGATTAATAACAACACTTGGGTGCAAACACATAAAAACCAGAACAGAAACACCTTGGAATTCCACTCTGCCACCAGTGTTAGCACCATACTTTGGAGCATGCTCAAAACATACAGCGTGTTCATTTTTGAAAAATAAAAGCATGAAATTTAGCCCAAGCACTGTCATCACTGATTCCCTTTCAAGATCTTGAGACAATCTCATCTCAGTTGATGGATGGAACAATTCATTCTGCTGAGCATCTACAAACACTACTAGCATTCAGGAGAAACTGGGACATCAATCACAGCAGAAGTATCTCCCGTATAAACACCTCGTATTCCAGATTATAATCTTCCTTCTTTGTCATCTTTAGGAAGTAGCTTAGACCAAAAAACCACACTGTTGATTCAGAAGTCCCATCACTATTCCAACCAATCTGATTTAAATCCAATTCTGGTCCCTCATGGGTAACATGACTATTACAAACTAGGGTTGCTTCTCCTCCACAATGCCTTTGGTTTCATGATGTGTCTGTCCACATGTAACATGCAGAAAAAGCCTTTCTGCAGTGGAGTTTTTCATTTCTGGTAAACATGACAGACCAGTTAGGGCTTTGGTTCTTAACCTTGGGTTACTCAGGAGTTTTGGACTGCAACTCCCAGAAGCCTTCACCACCAGCTGTCCTGACTGGGGTTTCTGGGAGTTGCAGTTCAAAAGCATCCGAGTAACAAAGGTTAAGAACCACTGAGTTAGGACTTTCGGTGGGTGTGGCACTAATTCCATCATTGCCTATTAGACCAGTTTTTAAAAAAGAAAAGCAACCATAGCCTGCTAATCATAGCATGGGAATGAGAACAATGTACCCTAAGGGCAGCAAAGCCTCTTTCCAACCAACTGCAGCTTTCTGAAAAGCTAACATCTAAGTCCAGGTCCAGCATACAACTAAAAATATAAAACATGCATGCAGCAAATGGATGTCTGACAACAGGTGCGCTAATCAGAAAGATGGGAATGCTGGTTGCATTTCCCTGCTGGATGAGGTTCTCCGGGTTTGTCACAGGGCAACCTATGAAAATGCCACAGGTCCTCTGCTTTTGGACAGTGCCGATGGTACAACTCTTGGGCATGCTCCTTTGGAGGAAAAGCTGTCTGGAAACTTTCGGCTAGCTTCTCAGCAGGCTGTGATTATAAAAATAATAACAATTCTATTGTGAATCCAGTAACACACTCCATATGGAGGCAAGCTTCACGGTTTCTAGAATTCATTCATAGTCTGCTTTACAAAGGATTAAATAAAATAATGGAAACGGGTTTTCCAGCGTTTGGAGAAATGCAATCTTTGATCACTTCACATTATGTGGAGGGCATTGTTCATTTTAATAGTTTATAACTGTAGTTTTCACTCCTAGTAAGACTCAAAGCGAACTGCTGGATACTCAGTGGCTTAAGTCTCTGGCTGTGGAGCCAGAGCATGGGAGTTCTGTTACCCACTATGGGCTTCCTTGAGAGGGGCTGGACTAGATGATCCAAAGGGTCCCTTCCAGCTCTGCAGTTCAAAGGTTCAAAGATTATTACTAGGAGCATATTTCATTATTTGACTGATGACTTCCCAGATTTTCAATAATATCCCAAACTAATTTTTCAAGCTACCGCTAAGGGTTGCCAAGATCCACTGTAAAACATTCATGTCACAGTGGGATAATGTTTAATTATCTCATCCACTAAAATAAAGGTAATTTTCGACTGAAGGATGATGCTTCAAAAGCCTTGCAGGACTACGTCGTTCATAGCACTGAGTGCTCTGCTACGGGACTTTGTAACTCATAGCACAGCCACACGAGTGTGCTCCCCCCCTGGCAATTCCTCTCTTGTTTTGGCACACAACAAGTCAGGAGCGCATTGCTGTGATTGAAGAGAATCCCGCATACAAATTGTAGGGCAGGACTTGAATTAAAAGAGATGCCCGAGTAGATAGAGTGGGAAGGAAAACAAATGTTTTTGTTACTGTGAAATTTAATATGGAAGGCAAAGCTTGCTTGTGTCGCTTCAGTGATAAGGCTGGAAAGAACCAGTAGCAGAACAAAGAGCAAACTTGTTGAGAGGCTCTTCCTTCTGCAGAAGAGTGATAAGGAATTTTAGGATAATTATCGGTGTGGGGACAGGATTACCAAAACAAAACAGAAAACTAACCTAAACTGGATTGGCTCTTTCTAGAAGGTACCCTATTGACTGAAGAGGTGATACTATCATGGTGGTAAGTGCTAGTAAACTTATATATGGCTCTGCATTTCCTTTTACTGCACGTTGGGTGGAACAAAAGAAACATCAGCTTCCAAACCAAAAGTCATCTGGAATTAAAGGCTGGCTTTATGAATATACAACCCTATGTTGTGATGGAATAAATCCAGGACTAAATCCAGATATTCAGCTGAGCAAAATGGATGCAGACTCTTCATTTAATCTGCTACCATGAATTAAAGGCAAAGAAATAGACAAAGTCCTTCATACACACCCACTGATAACTTTATGCAGCCCATCTTCTGGCTTCACCAGGCACTGTCCATGTTATCTCTCTTCATATCCATAAGGTCTAGAAACATGCTTGTTTTGTTTTTAAATGAGGGATGGAAGCTACAGGTATGACATTTAGATGACTACAGTCATATCACATCCATAATGTACATGACAGCTGCAATTTTATTGGGACAAAAGGAAGGATGTTCTGCTGGAGAACCATCAACCAGTATCAACTGAGGTGATCATCCACTAAGAAACTGATCTGCTAAAAACAGGATGAAGAGATAGCAAAAGGAGCTGCCAGCTGAATGAGGTTTGCTATTTATCAATTATCAACTACATCCCAGGCCCTTTTGATTCCCCTTGAGCAGCTTTTGATACCATGATACCATTTTTGATACCATTAATGGCATCTATGCTATTTATCAATTATCAACTACATCCCAGGCCCTTTTGATTCCCCTTGAGCAGCTTTTGATACCATGATACCATTTTTGATACTCTACTTGGACAGGCTCCACGGAATGGGAGTGAGAAGCACTGTACGACGGTGGTTCCATTTCTATCTTCAAAACTGGTTCCAAAGTGTGGCCTTGGGGGGACTTCTCCTTAGCCCATCACGATGAGGCAGCGTGGACAGGCTCCATGGAATGGGAGTGAGAAGCACTGTACGATGGTGGTTCCATTTCTGTCTTCAGAACTGGTTCCAAAGTGTGGCCTTGGGAGGACTTCTCCTTAGCCCATCATGATGAGGCAGTGGGGGTACCACAGGGTTCCATTCTATCTCTCATGCTGATTAACCCCTATGGGAAGCTGCCTGGAGAGACCATTAGGAGTTTTAGGGTTGGGTGAAATCAATATGCTGACGACACTCAGCTCTATTTTTTTTTCATCAAAGTCAGCTGAGACCGTACAGGTGCTGGGACAATGTCTGGAGGCTGTAATAGCCTGTATGACAGTCAATAAGCTGAAGCTGAATCCCAACAAGACAGGGACTTGTGGTTCGGCGGCTCCCAGGTCTGGGAGTTGGGTAGGAGACCTGTTATGCGTGAAATCAATATGCTGACGACACTCAGCTCTATTTTTTTTTCATCAAAGTCAGCTGAGACCGTACAGGTGCTGGGACAATGTCTGGAGGCTGTAATAGCCTGTATGACAGTCAATAAGCTGAAGCTGAATCCCAACAAGACAGGGACTTGTGGTTCGGCGGCTCCCAGGTCTGGGAATTGGGTAGGAGACCTGTTATGATCCAGTTTACATGCCGGTTGTCCAAAATGGGTGCATTCACGCTGCAGTTGGGATGACATACATAGTGGCTATTCAGAGAAAGCCTTGAGTCATCGACACACTCTGTACCTATTCTTATTGCAGGGAGCCATTCCAACTGGAACAGACAACTCCCAAAGTTAGAGGAACTGCTTAGAACAGGGGTCCCCAACCTTGGGTAACTCAGATGTTCTAGGACTGTGATTCCCAGAAGCCTTCACCACCAGCAGTGCTGGCTGGGGTTTTTGGGAGTTGTAGTCCAAAACACCTGGGTTACTTGAAGCTGGGAACCACTGCCTTAGGAGAACTGATGCAAAGAGCCTAGATATGAATTCTCCAAGAAGAGATTCAAAATTATTCTTGTAAGAAAAGGCCTTGTGGCCTCTCTTTGTAACCTACCAAAGTAAAGTCCCATGTAAGGCTTTCAAACTTACTGACAGTTTTTTTTAAGAATGACTTTTTGCACTTCAGCCCAACCAGAAGAGAGGGACAGAGACCCAACACCAAAGAGGATCTAGTGAGCACCACACAGAGCAACCAGGCATCTTACACGAGAAACACTTGGGAACAGCCTTTGCCTTTGCCATCACACACGTGGACACCTTCTTACATTGACTATGGGATACTGAGAAAAAGAAAGGAATTGGCATGGGTTTAGTCACATCAACAGAGACCGTTTTCACACATTAGCAGTCCTAGAGATGACAACGTTGAGTTCTGTATTCACCGGAACCCAACAGACAAACAGACCACAGGTTTATATATATTTGCTGTCAAGCTGCCTGATATGCAACACAAAGTAATCCATTTTTTGAACCTTGACACAGAAACTGCCAATGTGACTCTGAGGGTTAAACCCGTTGAGAAGATCAGACAGAGAAGCAGGCCTGGTTGAAACCATAACTTACATCTTCTCCTCCTCGCATGAGCTTTCCTCACCTTAACTTCTTGGGTGAATGGTCTTCAGCAGTTAAAGCCAAGCTCAATTTGCACGGTTGAATGCTCATATAAGAAACTCTACAGGAGCTTCATGGCTGGAGGGGAAATGTGCTATCGCCTTTTATTTATAAGCTGTGTGTCTTGTGTAATTCCGCTCTAAAACACAGATGTCACCAGTGTACAGTAGAACTTTTATATATATATATAATAAAAATATGTCCGTCTTCAAGTTCCATTCCAATTCTTGGGATATTTGCCAAACATGAAGTAAAACAATAAACACAATGAATTACAATACAAAACTAAAAACAAAGCACAGCAAAAAGGCCAAGAAGAAGTGGGAAGGGATCTGCAACAATTAGCATTAAGTGTCAAAAAATATTAAAGACTCCAGTTGGTGCTTCCTTGAAGCATCAGAATGGGACACAGCTTGGAGACAAGGCCCTCATCCCTATTGCTGGTCCTGGGGCCACAGGCCATATTGAATGCAAGGATCTTCTTTGTCATCAGCCCATTCTACTTCCCACAGAGGGGACCAATGGGGAGAAGGACAATTGTACCAATGTACAGATAAACACCTCTGCCTGAAGCCAAATTAGTTCAGTACATAACCACTACATACCCAACGGGTGGGGTGTAATGGTTAGAATGGTGGCCTAGAAGTCAGGTGACCTGGTTTGTCCTTAGTTGGTCACAAAACTCACTTGGGCCAGTCATGATATCTTAGGCTCATCCACTCACAGGATTGTTGTGAAGATAAATTGAAGAGACGGAAAGCCACCTACTTTGACCTCTGAGCTCAATGCAGAGAAGGTACGTAGGACAAAATGGAACAAGTAAATAATTTTCATTGTACCATCACACAGCATTTTAATTTGATTTTGCTTAGTACTTTTCTCTCCATATAAAATAAGTCCTTCCATGGCTCAGCTTGGAAATACTGGGAGCTGTCATGACTTGGGCAGTTGATCTCGTTAAACATTACACACCACTATGGCAGATACCATAAACCTTAAAGTTAATCCTAGCTTTATTCAAACAAATAGGAAATGAACAAGAGAATGAATCTTCAGAAATGTGAAACTCCTGATCAAGATTGTTCTCCATATACTTGCAAGGAAAACGTTCCTCGATTGACTGAGCCTATGACAACATGAGCAAAAAAAAATCTGAGCGGAGACTACAGGTTTGTCTGGCGTGGATAAGAGATACCTTATTTATACAAGTTAGTTAACTTCCAGAACACCTTGTCCATTTCCCAACTCTGGCCTTGATGCACATGTGTGTTGGACAATGCACTCACACATTGTGAAGCAAGGTGGCAGGGCACAGGAAATAACCAAGAAATCCAAGGCCATTCCCAGTCAAGCAAACCAGGATTTTGAGAGCGCCTAAAGAAGCCTGAAAGGGCAAAGAAAAATCCTTCTTGCAGATTTTGGCATGTTCCGATAACTGTCCAAAGTATATGGGCAACTGGGCTCTGAGCAGCTTCATCCGCATCAAACTGAGCACCGCCCCATTGTTAAAAAGCTGGATTATAAAACTACATCCAATATGAATTGCATGCTTTGCCCTCTGCAATCGCAAGCATTTTCTCATTTCAGTTCTCACAAACTGGGCAACTAAAGCCATCTAGTGGCTACTCACCCATCCCTTTGGTATGGTTGAAATCTCCTTTCACTACTTTGCAGGTTTTCCCATCTCCATTACAGACACCGCAACGGTCCTCTTTGGCAGATGAGCCAATGATCCCATCACAGCCAATTTTCTAAGGATAACAAGAAAGTCTTTGTTAGTTCCATGGAAATGATTTCTAAACGAGCACGGACTTACAGTACTTACTGCCATTCCTGTACAGCCTCCAGGCAACGCTGAAGGGACAGAACGGCATCTCCTGCAGTTGGAAAAAAGGAGATGTAGAGCTGTGTGTCATCCGCATATTGATGGCACTGCGCTCCACACCTCCTGATGACCCCTCCCAGCGGCCTCATGTAGATATTAAACAGCATTGGGGAGATGATCGACCCCTGTGGGACCCCACAATTAAGGCACCACGGGGCCGAAACATTCTCCCCAAGCTGTACTCTCTGGGGACGGTCCTCCAAGAAGGAACGGAGTTAGAACTTGTGCCGGGAATGGCAAAATATCAACTGCTGACCTGAAACAGATGTCGTCAGAAAGCAGCATCTCAAAATTGATCCTTTAAAACTCGATCAGAATCCTGCCAATGTACCAAGATCTAGTGGGAGACCCCAAGCAATCCTATTTTGGAATCCAAGTGGTTATCAATCCAACAGGACAGAGTTGTCTGCCCCAAAGCAGACACAGATCAAACTTGGGGAAGAGAAATTGAATATCGGAAGCAAGAAGCATAACCCAAATCAGCCAGGTCAGATTCCTGAAAGCTATGTTCTTTACTTTACTTTTATTGAATTTATACCCCGCCTCTCTAGACAAAGTCTACTTGTGAGTGACAATGTGGGTGGTGCAACAGCTAGTGTAGCAGAACCTGCCTGTTAGAAGCTAAATTGTAGGATCTGCTAAACCATTCTCATGATGGCAGAGAAAGCAACGCTATCTCCAAAGAAATACATCACAGTAGTTATTTTATTGAGATATCCCCAACACACGTATGATAAATGTTATAAGAATTAGGTCTGTGCTGAACATTATCCAGCCTCGACTTGAGGAGTAAAAAAAAAACAAAAACCACACACACACACAAAAACAAGCATTTTTGGGTAGAACAAAATAGCTACTTTTCCTGGTCATGTTTGGTACCATTACTTTCTTCAAACTGCTCCAGCAGCTGTTTTTCCTTGAAATGCTGTTATGTTTCAACTTCCTGAACCACACAGGTGATCTCAGGAAATTAGCAATCATGTAGTGAGTGGGATGATCTCAAATTTCCAGTTAATGCAAAGCAGATTCGCTTCCCAGCTTCAAAATATCAAATTGGAAATGACGGTTTGAAATAATGCACAGCTTCAACGGGGCAAACCAAAGATGGTGAAGGATTGGTTGTGAAAGGTAAACTGCAACGGTCATGGTCTTCCATCATCTTTGAATGCTTTTCCCGCTGCTTTTCCCAGTCACAGAGGGAAAATGGCAATATCATGTAGAGATCTCAATAGCCACCTGGTCTGTGAGGCCCTTTACTCTTCTCTACTTCTTTCAGCTTCGTCGGCACCGATGGGGCTAATAAAAGAGTATGCGTATCTCCTCTCCCACTAAGAAACGGAGAGCCCTGAGAACTTCACAGTGACTTCTAAGGCAATTGATTTTAGGGGGGAGGAAAGTACAAAGTGGTAAAGACTAGTGACAGACGGTGAACCAAGCTGAGAAGGTTGGGTCTGATTTTTTAAAAGTTTGAGGATTTTATAAGCACACAGCATTTAAAGCACTGGCTCTTATCAAAAGCCTAGACTGTATTTATGTCTTTGTTGTCATAAAACCTACCGAATGGAAGCAGCAGCTGCTTAAGGGTGGTAGATGTCCTGATATTGATGTCTAAATGGCAGTACTGTTTTTGAAGTCCAGGAAGGGCACATTTTAGTGGAGAAATCCAGTGCTCTGCTTGGAAAAAAGATTCCCAGATTCAACCCCTGTGTTTCCTGGTAGGAGATGGTCAGATTTCCATCTTGAGCTTTGGAGAATGGCTGTCTAGATAATATTGGACTACACGGACCAATGGAATCACTCAACATGAAGCAACTTCGTATGCATCCGTTAAAAGAGAAAGCTAAAGTACACAAGCAGTCAAAAACTACTAAGCAGGGGATTGGACTCGATGGCCTTGTAGGCCCTTTCAATTATTCCATGATTCTATGAAGATGACACCGTGTCTCTATATAGTTGTTCACATATCATCAAGATTCTAAACCACCATTGACGTCTCCTTCTACTTTTGTTTTTTAAACAAATAATTCCAGGCCAATTTGCTTGGACTTATAAGTCCTGGAGTTCACCCATCCTTCTCTCTCTCCTCATTCATTTCCCAATTTGGAAAGGGGAACATATCACAAGCCCTTCATGCTCCTTCTAGACCCACTTGTGCAATGTAGGCTAACATCTGCTACAGTTTTCTCAGTGAGAAATGGAAACTTGCCTCAGAGGTCCCATCAGTGTTGGCATGATTCTTTGAGGTTCAGCTTCTTTTGCCTGAACCCAGGAGACCACAAAATTCTGCAGCTGGCTCAGACCAGATGAATCACTGAATCTCACCAGCTCATCTAATTAAGCAGGCTGTACACTTGTTGAAACAGGATTGTAACTGAGCCATGAAAGCAGATGCAACCCAGCAGCCACATGCCTATCAGGAGCTTCATAAATGTCCTATATTTGCTTCCTGCCTTGGATTGTGAAAAAGACCATTACTGGCACCAAGAGGAGCTCATGGACAACAGATATTTCTCCACATGTCTTGATGACACGTCATTGACATCTTTCGGTAAGTTACATCCAACAGGCCTCTTTGCTTGCTGGGACAGAACAGTCAAGAAATTGAAAAGTATGTCTCTTCATTTTAAATCAGGCATAAATCGTACCAGTCTCTGCAGGAAATGTTCCAATCATCTGTAACTAATGAAGCGCCAAGGAATACAGTTTCCAATCAGGACATCCAAATCAGCCCTAAGGGCTTGAATAAATTTCTCCTTTGAGAACCTTCAGCCAAGCATAGTTCCACCTGTTATGGGCCACACACACAACACTTTGCTCTAGAGCAATCTGACTCTCATCTGCATTACCCCAAATAATCTGTTTTGAATTCAGTCCTTGTTATCTTCAGTGTGAAAAGATTTGGGTTTTTTAAAAAATCTTTAAATGGTACTCAGGCCCCAGAATAGTGTTACTAAAAGGGGGGAAGGAGTCATGGGCCATTATTCAATTGACTAGATGCATAATATATTTAGCTCCCTTGCACACTCAGTGTTAGATCAGTTGCTTTGCATAAAGAACATCTGAGATCCAATGTCGCATCAAAAGAAACAGATAAAAGGAACAGGCAAACAAAGGAACTAGGAACGGCCATTGCTTGTTGATTAAAGCAACCCTTTTGCTCTGCATTGCTCTTATCCCTCCAGCAATAACAACAAAACATCATCCCTAACAGGAGAACCACTACAATGAACACCTACAAGTCCAAAGGAAAGGGGCTACCAAACCTAGAGTCTGCTTTTTGCAGTCTGACGGGGAACAATTACCTGCAGGCCTATGTTAGAATCATCTTCTTATATGGCGAAACCTCTTTCTTTAAAGGATTTCTGTCTCACCTTGCTTCATGAAATGGTATGTTACAAAAGAGTCCACCTCCTACTTTTAAGATATTTAAATCTGAAAACCATAAATGGGTTGGATTTGCTGTTTCCTTTCCTTAAACAACAACAACAACAAGGCCACTTAGCTGGGCATATAATTTGAGTTTTAGACTGACCGGGATATTTTTAAAGGAGATTGTAAATGTGCCTTTTGAACCTCTCTCTAGAATATTCATTGCCGTAGCCTGCGTGCGTGTTTGGGTGTCGCTTCACCAGCACAATGATGATTACCGCCTCACATCAGAAACGACAATGCCCATTCGCGGGGCTGTGTAATTCTTCCCAGATGGTGAGCTGAACAAACTGCCATAGCAGATGGAATGTAAATATTGACGTCGTCAAGTGTTGTTCTGCAGATTAATCGCCGCGAGGGTATGACAGTGTACAGCTGATTCCTTTCCATTGCCAACATTTGCTCTTGCAACCCAACAGTCACGGCAGGAAAATCCACACAATCACCATGCTCAGAATAACTATTTGCCTATTTTCTCACCACAGCTCCCTGTCCAAGAATGAAATTAATCAAACGAACGAGCCGTCTTCTTGTTGCTGTTGGACAGCACCTCACTTATTCTGACTTTGGGTGTGGCAGCCCTAAACAATAGTGTTATGTCTGGTAAACCAGTTCTGAGCACTCTCTACCTAGAAAACCCAGAATTGACTTACCAGCATGTTATTATTAATATAAACCGTTCTGGGTTGTTTTTAAGGAGAAAGGCAGGGTAAAAATATCTTAAATAAATAAACAAATGTAATCATCATCATCATCATCATCATCCAAAGAAGTTCCCGTAAAAATATCTTAAATAAATAAACAAACAAATTTAATCATCATCATTATCATCATCCAAAGAAGTTCCCAAAAGTTCTTCAGCCAAAAACAATTCCACTGTTTTGATAGGCATCAAAACTATTTCGCCACTTACAATGAACTTAAGGATGGAACATTCTCACAAATTATCTTCAGGCAAAATTCTGTGGCAATTTTAGTTCCCATTTCCTAAAGAGTTTCTCCAGTGGTCTCAGATTCCCAGTGGGACATCAAGGATTGGTAAGGCATGAGATGATCTTTTCAGCACAACGTGATCAACAAGCTTCATCAGTGCTCTCTGTGTGTGGAATGAGCGAAGCCAACGACCCTCCCTTGAGAATTTTCATTTGTTGTATTCAAATCTCTCTCTCTCTCTCTCTCTGCTTCCAGGCAAGATTCATCGCTTTCAGGCCACAGTGCTATTTTTGTCTTGTAAACTTTCTATCACTTGTGCAAACTCTCCCTCTGGATAGTGTCCTTTCACTTTGGAAATCACACACATACAATAAGCACAAAAGGACTGCCCAATTGTGTAAAAAGAGTCAAACCACCCCTTGATACTCTTGATCCTTGAAACGGGCATGCAGTAAAGCAGTAGTCACTGCCGTTTTGTACAGTGTGCGTTACTTGTGCTAAGAA